ACTGGCGCTAAAGCCAGTCTCGTTTTCGAGTCTCGATCATACACAGCTGCGACGAGAGGATTGGGATACGGGGCAAGATGGGCGACCGGTACAGATATTCTCGGCCGCGCTCTCCCACGCTGTACAACCCAGCGCGCGCCTCTCTTCCCGTCGATGTAGGATATCCCGAATACTCAACCTCGCCCGTTCGCGATCACCATATGCATGTGGTGCCCACCGGGCGCCGCGAGGTGATCGCCAATCCACGGAGTAGCACTTCTTCCATCGGTGCCAACGGGCCAGTCACAACCACGACGTACAAGATTAAAGCCGACCCGGTGACTCGAGCAAGCAGTGTGCGAGAAAGCAGTCGCGCCCGCAGATCCACGCTCGATAGCACTCCTCGGCCTCCGGTACCCACGATCGTAACGACGGGGCATCCACACCGACACAGAGATAGGCCCGTTGTGCATGTGGGGAGTGCACGACCGAGTTCGCCCTTGAGGGATCCGTATCGGAGTAGCCAGGAGGACTACTATGCCATCCCCGCCAGCTCGAAACATGGGCATCATCATCACAAGAGGTACAGCGCGACGATGGATAATGCGGATATGAATCGGCTGGCGACAGAGCGGGATTCAGGTCATCTGCACATTGCCCCGAGAGAGGAGCGCCGGTATACTAGAACACGCCCTCTGTATGCCAACCCTGTGGTCCGAGACACAGCCGACTACGGTGATGACGGTTATGGATATACGACACCGCGGGATTTAGTGCAGTGGGATCTGAACAACACGGCCACGGCGCCCAGATACCATGGACGCCACAGTAGCTACGATTGGGGCAGACCGAGTAGTATTACGAGCTACAATGATATGTTGCCGCCGAGATCGTACGATAGCAGGGACCGACCACCAGTTTCTACAAGGGGATTCGATAGAATTCCTCCGATCAGGAATGCTCCACCCCCATACGAGTGGGAGCGGCCCGAGGTCAGGATGCCGGCCCCGCCGCCTATGGACCCGATCCGACCCCCAAGGGCGGACATCCCCCAGGAAATCCCGAGGAGGAGCGACTCTGTGTCTAGGAGACCGGTGTCCTTGTACCATGATCGGGAAAGGAGAGGGTCAGGGAGAGATGATTATTACGAGGTGAGGGATGACGAGCCACGGTATCGGAATGAGAGGTATCGCCATGATCGGCACGATGACGTGGTTGAGCAGAGGGGATATGGCGTTCGGTCGGAGAGGGTTGAACCAGTGCGCTCAGAACGACACGATAGGGCAGAACTTCCGAAATCAGAGCATAGGGTGGAGAAAGACAGACATGATGACGATCACAAGGATCACAAAGGTCGGGAAGCCGCCATGACTGGTCTAAGTCTCGCAGGAGCAGCTCTTGGAGTCAAAGCGTTCAAGGATACACCAGATGAACACGATGACCGAGACGAGCCAAGGAGGAGGAGAGATTACGATGAGGAGCCACGTCGACGCCGTGATCCTCGAGACGATAGAGATGCGGTCGATTCGAGTGGCCGTGATCCTAAAGAACGCCGACGCAGAGACGACTCACCATCCCGCGAGAGTAAAGAACGCTCTGCTCCTCCAGCCCCGGAAATAGTCGATCTTTCCAGCCGGGACCCCAAAGAACGCCATGGCTCCCGCGATGAACGACATGCCTCTCATCACGAACGACATGGCTCACGTGACGGCCGGGAGACTGACCCTGAATCGCGCCGTCCTCTCTCTGAAACCGCAGCCAACGGAACAGCAATCGAAACCGAACCCTCCACGGCTTCCGACGAAGCACAGCCTCGTCACTCTCGACAGCGGCGAGAATCTGGACCTGGCTTCAACCCCCGCGATACTATGGACTTGAAAGCGCTTAAAGAAGCTCTGAACAAGGAATCCCCACCACCCGCCACACAACCTGCCCCTACAAGGACCCCTAGGGAATCCATTTCCAAAGACTCCCGCGAGTTGACGGAAGTCCGCTCGGACCTACAATCCGACTCTCGCATCCCCCGCATCGTCACCCCGCCTCCTACGACTACTGAGACCAAAGCCCCGGTCAAGGGAATCTTACGAGCCCCTAGGGAAAAGTTCCCCGAAGATCCAGCGCCAATCAGAGAGGGTGTAGCGCCATTGAAGGATGCGAAGAAAGATGGTGTCCCGCCTGATGCGAGATGGACTAAGATCAGTAGGAAGTTAGTTAATCCTGAAGCCCTCGAGGCGGGGAAGGAACGGTATGAAGCGCGGGAGGATTTCGTTATCGTTCTTAGAGTGCTGTCAAGGGATGAGGTACAGGCGTATGCGGAAGTTACGGAGCGGATTAGAGGTAAGCCTTCGAGTCTTTCTCCATACCCATTACTCTCTTCGTTACTTCTTCAAAGCTAACAATTCACAGCGGCAAGAGAAGAAGCAGAAGAGGCCGAAGAACGCGCCGCCCGCCGTCGTGCCCGTCGTGAGAGACATGAGCGTCACAAACGCGAGCGTGCAGAACGCGGACTCGACCCCCACCGCTCCTCATCCCACAGCAACCGCCACCACCGTCGGGACGCCAAGGAATCCCACTCCGAATCCGATTCTACCTCCGACGAACCCAGCAAGGGCGACAAAGTCAAAGACCGCCCATCGGGTCGCCGGGATAGTAACAGGATGAAAGCCATAGAACCGTCCCAGGGCCCCGTTATGAGCGGTGGTCTGGCGGGGGAAGACAAGAAATCCCTGCCGACGAGGGCAGATCTGGTCGGGTCCTCGCTCCGCGAGAACCCTGACGCCCCGGGCCAGTATGTCGGCTATACCCGCAATCCACCGCTGGTATCCGGCGGCGCGGGATTGGGACGCAAGGACAGAGACTAGGATACGTTGTTATACTTGTATGAAGAAGCGTGGTAATGAGTTTGATACAGCAAGCGAGCGAGCGAGCATGAATGAACAAAAAGCGTTGTTTGATGAGTGGACTACGGGCGTTCGTCCGTGGAGACTTGGATTTGAAGAGATGTAGTTACAGCATAGCGGATTTTGTAGGTTTATATTTGATTCAATAGGGGTCGTCTTGGATTGTTAGAACTTTGTTCGTATGGGGTTTGCTTCCTTATATCCTCTTGTTGAAGGAAGGGAGAGGGTGATTTTTTTCCCATCTACCTGGGTGGTAGATAGATAGGTAGATAGGTGGTTTCTAGATTCCTAACTATTTCTTTGGGAAAAACAGAAAACAGGAAAACAGAGACATATAAATGATTCATGGTAAGGTGGGTATAGAGAGTGTAGAGTGAAGTTCTCTCTGATCACGAGACACAAAGGGTGCGCGCGTATCAACACCATGCCTCAAGAACCCACTAACCGCTAGCGCCACACTAACAAAATCCTCCGTAGCTTAGCATACCCGCGGCAGGATCAACAATCCGGGCCTCCCCTAGTTAGCACCATTCCCCACCTCAACCTTCTCACGACCTCTCCTCTCCTCTCTCCTCGTCCGCCGTCCGCCGGCAGCACGAGAATGTCGCCCAGCTCCCGATATGCATCTTCTCAAGACCCGCCGCCGCACCGCTAGCTTTCTTATTCTCGTAGCGTCGCTCCTGTTCTCTGGGTTTTGGCTGTGGAGGAGCCCCGCAGAGGAGGAACGTGGTGGGAAGCCAACGTTCGCATCGCTGGCGCTGACGGAGAAGCAATGCGCGCGTGCCTTTCCGGGCTTGGATCGCGAGGTTGAGAATGCGGTTAAGAGAGGAGGCATCGAGTTGAAGAGGGAGTTTGGTGATATACCAGGGTTGATTCAGGGGAGGGTTAAGGATGGGAAGGTAGGTTTTTGTGGGAGGGGGGAATTCTCGTTCTTTTTTTGGCGCGCAAGAGACTGATTCGGAGGCGCGATTGAAAAGCTGTATATATTATCTGCTGCGCAAGATAATGTTCTGCATGTGAGTTTTTTTTCTAGAGACGAAGGAGATGATGTGAGGGTGTTGATTCTCCCACCAGCGTGTAGGTGCTATCCTACACTCCCTCCACCGCGCAATCGTCACCTCTCCCTCCCGGCTCCCAGACACGGTCTTCAGCATCAATATCAATGATATACCGCGAGCGAACAGCTGGTCCTTCGCGCGCTCCGATGATCACTTCTCTGATGATAACCCGTGGCTCATGCCACATTTCGGTTCCTGGTCCTGGCCGCTCGAATATCTGGGCCCGCTGGACGAGGCCCTCGCAAGGATTGATGAGAGTGAGAGGAATGTACGCTGGGCGGATAAGATTGATAAGGCAGTCTGGAGAGGTACACCATGGTTTAATCCACAGTGGTCGGCGGGGTTAAGACCGAAGTTGCTAGAGGTTACAAAGGGGAAGGATTGGGCGGATGTCCAGGCTTGGGGCCAGGGTCGGGATCCCGAGAATACGTTGAGTATTGAGGAGTTTTGCAGGTATAAGTATATTATCTATGCTGAGGTAGGTCGTATCTTTCACGTATGTGTTATAACATGCTCGAATCCGGAATGCTGACCGAATGTGGGCGCAAAGGGTAAAACTTACTCGGGACGGCTTCCCTATCACCAAGCCTGCGCATCAATTATTCTCAGTCCGCCCCCGACCTTCGTCCTGCACCTCACACACCTGATGCGCCCGCTCTTCTCCTCCGTCCTGCTCTCCGCCCATCAATCCAGCACTCCCAGGCCTCCACCCATCTCCGCATATCCTCTGCCCGCCACCCAGCATACCTGGCCGCTCTCCTACCCGCCACACCTCGCAAACACCATCTTCGTCAAGCCCGACTGGTCGGACCTCGAAGAGACGATCGCGTACCTACGGCAGAACCCAGACATCGGGATGGGCATCGCGACCGCGCAACGAGAGCTCATGGTTGGCGGAGGCTATCTGAGCGAGGCTGCAGACGCCTGCTACTGGCGCGCCCTGATCAGGGGATGGAACCGCACGGTCGCCATCGATGGGCGGGAATGGGAAGCAGCGGGCATGCGATGGGAGACGTTCAGTCTATTAGGCAAAGCGACGTGGGACTGAATCCGGTCGGGGCACTGTTCTGCGCAATTCATGGGAGCTCTACGTCTTCATGTACCGTTCCATGGCATCTTCATACGTTATCCTCCTCCAACCATCGCGCACATATTGTGGGATTGTGACGTGCATCAATGAGCTGTAAATCACGTGTTGCGCAGGCCGATGATCCAAGGGAACCAGATTCTGTTGATTCAGTTGATTCTGAGTGATTCTCAGCCACCGTCCACAGACCAACGAGGATGAGATGGCGAGATGCACGTGAGGTAAGCGCTGTGGGGTGATTGGAAAACGCGGGGAAAGAGGCGTGCGGGGTCAGACCACACCACCGCCCCCCTGAACCTGGAACCGATAGGGAGTCCTTTAAAGGAGCCCGAGGATCCCGCTGGAGAGAGAGTCTTCTCTCGTTTTCTTCTTCTTGTCAAGAATTATTCCATTGACGATGTGAGAATATCCATCAGGATCTTTTTAGCATCGAGCTTCGAATATCAATCTACATTATTATCATCATCATCGACGACTCGTATCTGATTCGAGTCGTACAAAGCAAACAACCAAACAAACAACCTCTCGCAGATCTTCAGATCGATCGTCTTCACCGACACTCTTCATCAAAGAAAGCAAAATGTCGCCCCTAATCCCAGTCTTCTACGCAGCCCTGACAGCCGGTAACTTCGGCCTCCTAACTTTCTGCTGGGGCCAGCTGCGTCTCGGCGCACCCCTCGTGCCCGTCATCGCCCTCCTAGGCCGAAGGACCAAGATGCCACGCGTGCTGAAACAGATCGGTACCCGCGGGCCTTTCCCTGGACCGAGTCATGTCTAGGCTCTCTCTTTCTTCTCTCTTCCTCACTTGAGTTGGGGGAAGTTTGTGGTTTGGGAATTTGTTGGATGGTGAGTTTTTTCCTGTTTCTTGTGTGTGTGTCTGTGTATATGGGTGGTGGGGTGGGGTTGTTCTGGTAAGAGTTCGTTGAGAGGATGGCTGACGTGGTGTTTAGGGATGGGATGGAACATCTTGGGATAGGATGATGATTTCTTATTCTTCGTGAATGGAGAATGGAATGGTATGGTATGGGATAGGCAATAATCCGCAACAGCCTACGAACAACAAGCAAACCTGCGGATATATAACATGGAGTTCCACAAGGTCGGACGGATCAGGCAGGATGGCGTTTCATCCATCCGCTCGAGAAGCTTGATTCATTGAAGGATGGATGGATGATGGGATACAAGAGTGGAGGTAGATTTCCTACCTAGAGATAATAGGAATTTTATCCTATGAATTTTATTCTATGTGTATTGACCGATCGTCGATCGTTGAAAACATCTAAGCTAGTAGGGATGAGGGGGATCGAGATGTGGTGATATACTACCCCTTCCCCCTTTGTTTTAATATCAGAAGGTCCTGAGCCCCCCTTTTCCATCCCCCCTCTCTCTGTATCTCTTACCTCTCAACCTTCCATTGAAGCCGCACCATATATCCCGCCCACCTACTTACCTATCTAGCTATCTATGCATACCTACATGTAATAACATAACTATAATAACCAGAGCGCCTATCTCAGCTCGCCACCTTTCCTTCCCTTACCTCTCTCTCCTCCCTTTCCCTCCCTCCTCCTCCTTCTCCTCCTATATTCTTCTCATCATCATCATCATCATCATCCTCATAATTACTTTCTGTACAAAGGGCCTGTATTCAGGAAAGTAGGAAAGGAGAAGTGGGTGTTGATAGTCAGGTATACAAATAATATTTTTGGTTCTTTATATCCTTCCTTCCTTGGGTTTATTTAATGAGTATTATTCAAGGTAGTTGGATCTTGGTTATGTATAGATAGATAAGGTTAGGTAGTGTATAGTAAGGAAGGAAGCAAAGACCGTGAGGACCTGTGAGGACCTGTAAGGACCCTGAGGAGTCAGGACTGTGAGGACAAAGATAAGATAGTGCCGTGTACCTACCTTACTTTAGGGAAGGAGAAAAAGAAGGAGGAGGGGGAGCGGGGGGGAAGGGGGGAAAGATGGAGACCTGAATAAGGTAATCAAGCCTTGGTTGGGAATTATTTATTTGCTTGATTTTAATGTTGTATATAGGTGCCTTACTGCGTAATCTATTGCTTTGATTATTTTTTTGATTTTATATTTGATCGGGTTTGGAATTGGAATTTGGAATTGGAATTTTCTTTCCCTGTGTTTGAGGATATACCTACCACCCCCGCTCCCCTTCTTTTCCTTCCTCCCCCTTCCCTCGCACAACTCAATATTGGATATCATATGACTTCGGTCGCGCAGGTTCAAATCCTGCACTCGACGACGTTTTCCTTTTTTTTTTTTTTTTTTTCTTTCAATTACTTTTTTGTCTTTTGGCTTGGGGATTTCTTTTTTTTCTTTTGGGTGGGGGGCTGCTGGCTGGGTGTGAGTTTATTATCCCAATCTCCTACCTTAGTAGGAGATTGAAAAATTCGAGTCATACCCATTAACCACTCTGGCAACTCGACTCTTCTAATTCCTCGCTATTTATTTCTCAAGCGGCAAAATAACCTCCCTCCCCTCCAATTTTTTTAAAAAAAAGAAAAAAAAAGAAAAAAGGGGGAAAAAAAGGGGAATCGTCGAGTGCAGGATTTGAACCTGCGCGACCGAAGTCATATGATATCTGATGGATTTCCCGGGAAGGGGGGGAAATATTCGAGTCATACCCATTAACCACTCTGGCAACTCGACATTTTTTGGAGGGGGGTGTTTGATTGGTGGTCAAAGTGCTTATTTTGGGTGATTAGATTAGACTTAGCGAGGTGGGGTGGATGCTGGGTGGGGTGGGTTGGGGGAAGGGGACATAGAATCTTTTTGATTTCTAATTTTGATAATCAAGGGACTTGTTCTAGAGCATAGGACAGGATAGGATAGATTTGTAATTGTTCACGATGATGAGAAATTGATAAGATTGTAAGACATTCAGTTTTCTCTTTATACACATGACCAATCCAACCGAACTGATAATTAATCCAAACGCTCCGATAATTAATCCACCCAATCCCTCAAATATAAGGTACCCAAGGTAAATGACTAAGGTAACCATACTATCAAAATCACCGATCGCTTCTTCTCGTCCAACAGCAGCTCTCCCCTCGCATCCAATGACCGTATCACATGATCGCGCATAACATCAGCGCGCACGCCCCAAGCCGCTAACTGCCCCACCGGTTCGCCGCAGCTTCTCGGCTACCGATGATAGCCTCACGCCTTGGAAGGCTAGCGAATCAGCAGCGGAGCGGGTGGGGCGGGTGATGTATAGATACAGACGCGGATGCGGGCGATCTTGGTCGCCACGGTTGTATGAGTACATCGAGAGAGGCGAGATGGAGAAAGGACGTCAGGATGAGCAGACGGAGGCTTGGGGTAGTGGGGGTCTGGGGCGTGCTGATTGGGTGGGGGGTGGAGTGTGGAGCGGCTTGTGGGAAAAGGGGGGCGATAGGGAGGCGATGAGAGGAGCGATGGGAGGAGCGACGAGGAGGATATGACGTCGGCCCAGGGTCCAGATCTGTGCGGGGTAGGGAGGCTGTGGTCTGCGCGGGTGGACCCTGGAATGGCGAGAGGGAGGAGAGAAGGGGTATATAAGGGGCGGGATATTCCCAGATGGTTATCAGATGATTGACCAGAATCAAAAGAAACAACCACTCTCCTCTTAATCTTTGAACAAGACGAGACGAGAACACACTGAACGACAAAAGAAACATATCAAACAACAGTCCAACCTGATTCAACTGCTTGTATCCAACACAGGCGTTCATCATGGCTGCCACTGCTTCATACAGCGCGGGACCTCTCCCCCGCAACGAGCCCTACATCATTGGCGCTCCCACAACCTTGTACGGCACCGAGGGAGGCTCCAGGATCCAGTTTCGTGAGCCCTCTGAGGGAGCTGGTACGGCCTCGTCCAGCGTTGAAAGCCCAAGAGGGTCTCGGGACCCCTACGTCCTGGCTCCTGCCACAACTTCATCGAATGCTGAGGCTTCGAACGTTGAGGCTTCAAGGGTTCAATCTCGTGGATCCACCGCAGATGCTGCTACCATGACCCCACGAATTAGCGGCGTTAGTGAGGGTAGTCGTAGTCCGAGAATCCAATTCCGGGAGCCCTTCAACCGTACGTTCAACCCCCCACAACCCCCTTCTCCAAGGCAACGGTACTAATACCCACAGGCGTTTATGACCCAAGCATCGCCTCCAACGAAGTCTTCTTCGACGAGGACCCGTACGAAGACTGGACAAAGACCACACACGAGCGAGACAGCTGGGCGAACCGTGAGCGGCGCCGCTCGTCGCAGTGGCAGAAGATCGACCAATACCCGTCCGTGCAAAAGACAAGTCCGACGGACTCGCGCAGCCGTAGCCGTGGCTCGCGCCGCGGGAGCATCCTGAGCATGTTCAACCACGGCTTAGACAAGGAAGGCCGCGACATGCTGTACTCGGGGGACGACCATGAGGACCATGCTCACGATCTCAGGCGGTCGGTGACCAACTCCTCGGGTGGCTCGCGCTCGCGTGAGTCGCGTCGCAGGCGGAGAAGAGGGAGTATTCTGAGCTTGTTTGAGGCAGGGAAGGATAAGGAAGGACACGATGTGATCCATTCGGGCTTCGACAGTGAAGAAGAGGGTGAGAACGAGGTAGGCCCCCGCATTGAGCGAAGAAAGTCGTGGATGGATCAGGAGCGTGACAGATCAAGAGAAAAAGAAGAACTGCCGGGAATGAGAGAACCTGAAAGGAGAGGGCCCGGAGCAAAGACAGGGGCTGGATTGGCAGAGACAATTGACGAGAGTATTAGAGAGAGGAGACTGTCCCAATCGGTAGCGGGCCAAAGGGCAGGCCAAATTCTGCTGTCAGATAACATTCCGGCTAGGTAAAACACACCCATGGCTGGATGCGCGGGGGGCTAATAAGATCAGGACATAGGACAGGGACAGTGAAGTACTTGGCGGGAGGTGCTTTTTGGTGCTTTTTGGTACTCCTTGGTACTTTTTTGGTACATGTTGGTACCGGAACGGGTGGGAATTTGAAAGATACCTTAGACGAGTATGCGACGGGGAGTTTGATTCTTGGTGTAATTTCGTTTTAGATAGGTGGAGGAGCGAATCCAGCCATCGCCACTTAATCGAATTTTGTCTTTTCACCTCAACCACATGTGACTTCACTGTGAAGATGTTGTTGTCTGACATTGCAGCCTTGCTTTTACACCTCAACCACATGTGACTGTGAAGGGAGAAGAAGTTTGATGAAGCAAGTCCTGTGAGACGCGATTGTACGCGCGGATCGTACGCGCTGGGACTATAACCGAAGTCGGTTGTGCTTTTAACCTCTCGGCAGCCGGCCTAAGGTTACGCCGCGCCGCGCTTGTTGGCGCTTAATTCGCCGGCATATACACCCTTACAAGGCGGGGCAGGATACCGGTACAGGAGCATTTTGCAAATGATCCTAGCTAATATCACACATAGAAGTGCTATGTTTTCGTCATATGTTTCATTTACGGAGGATAGAGAGTTGATTCGTGGATGAGATCGAACGAGTTATTGACGATTATTCGCAGGGAAAGGCCCACCACCAAGATGGATGGATTCCGGGTTTCAAGAAGTACGGCTCTTATCTTATCTATTCCTGCAAAACCATCCATTCTATCATTAAACCCTATCTCCCAGTATAATCTACTTAGACTTCTTCAGAAGTATACACCAAGACGTCGAAAAAAAAGGCTCAGAGATATGACGATATCAGAGCCAATCTTATTTATACCTATTCGGTCCAGTCCAATCTTGAGCCCCTCCCAGAGACCATCCTCTTCACACTACATACAGCTCCTTTCCGAACTCGGGTTTCGATGCTGCAGCTTATTTGCGGTCTAGCCTCTGGCCCCTAGCAAAGAAGGCTGCGAACAAAGCTATGGCTGCCCAAGCGGTGCTCGCTAGGAAGGTATACCTCAGGGCCTCGAAATACACTCTGCGGGCGATATCCTGGACCTCGGGCTCGAGGTCATGCAGCACGGCGACAGAATGACGGATCGCGGATATGATCTTGTTTTTATATGAAAGTGTTAGCTTGCTGGACTTCTTGAATTAACTTGTAGAATATTTTTTTTACTCGTCTCCGTTGGATTGGAGATGAGGAATGAGAAGATGAGAGGGGGCATAGGAAAGGAGGATCACTTTCTCTTTGTCTGGTATTCCGCACAATGCACGTGGCAGTCGGGAAGATAGGAGATTCTGCGTGATGGTGGATGCGGCCGCAACGCCCCAGACGGTTCCCATGGAGCGGAAGAGATACACCATTGAAGTGGAGACAGCCTGCTCTACAGAAACAGAAAACTCAGCATCTATCTATCTCGAATTCTCCCATCTCTGGAAATAAAAAAAGATACGTACGAGACTGTTCAAAAGCGGCAATGTTCGTGAACAGGATACTGGGGTATACAATTCCTTGGCCGATATTGGCGGGGAAGAGATATGCGACGTATTTCCATGACGCATCGTGGTATTTCAGCGATGCGACGAGCCCGTTTCCAAACATCATGAGAAAGCAGCCAAGCCGGACGAGATGGCCCAGCATTCCCCACCGCGACATCAGGAAACCTGCGATGAGGCCGCCGATAGGGGTCGCCATAGAGGGGATGATGAGTCGAACGCCCGCTTTCGATGCTGAATCCAGGAGCACCACCTGGAAGAACAGGGGTATCATAAACAGGAACTATTTACCTTGTTAGCAAAGGGCTTGAAGTTCAGGGACGATGCATACAGCATAGCTAGACATCCCGACGAGCACATTGCTGATCATGTTCGAGATGGTTGCTCGTCCCTTCAGCATATACATCGGCATCACGGGCAGAGCTCTCGTTCGAAGCTCCACCAACACGAAGATTCCCAAGATGAGAACACTAGCGATCAGGCAGACTATGACACGGATGTCGGACCAGGGATACTTGTTTCCCCCCAGGCTGAGCGCAGCCAGCTGAGCCGAAAGTCCCAGAACCAGCAATACCGCACCGGTGAGATCGATCTGTCGCCACAGCGACCCCTTCTTCGCACCCCCATTGAGCTCGACGCCTTCAGGAGGATCCTGGATCACGAAATATGCCACGATCAACCCCGCCAGAGAAATCGGCACTTGGCAGAGGAAACACCATCGCCAACCAATCGTATCCGCAACGAAGCCTCCCATACTTGCACCACAGATCGCCCCGAACCCATGCAGACCATTCTGCACCGCTTGATACATGCCCCTGTTCCTTAACGGGATGATATCCGAATTGATGATCGTCGCCATCGTGACCAACCCGCCGCCTCCCAGGCCCGTGAGCCCGCGCATCAGGTTCAGAAATAGGATGTTGGGCGCGAACCCACAGCCTAGGCAGCCCAGCAGGAACGTGATGGTGGCGGTGAAGAACATGGCGCGGCGGCCTAAGATGTCGGAAAAGCGGCCGTAGAGCGGTTGGAAGGCTGTCGTAGTTATGAGATATGCGGTGGTCAGCCAGCTGATGGTGTTGGCAGCGTTGAAATCTGACCCGATGACTGCGTAGGTCGAAGCCGTGATCGTGCCGTCGAAGCCAGAGAGGAAGACGTTGCAGAAGATGGCTGTGAATAGGTTAGGAGGGACTTGGGTTGAGGAGTTGCGGGGGAGAAGTACCCGTTTCGATCCAGATGAAGCCGGGCCCAAGGGATTCGGGTGACCATGTCTCTTGCGTATCATCACCGTCCTCACTTGTGCTTAGAAGCCCATTGCTGTTTGACGCTGGCAACAACAATGGCGAGGACTCGTCCAGAGTTACGTTTGCTTCTTCAATTGACCCTACACCGCCACTTGGCGGGGTTAATAGCCCTGCTTCAAGTGCCATAATTGGTCTGAAGTTTTAAATATCGAGATATCGTCAAACAATTCAAAAAGAGGACAAAACCAAAGACATGAAAATACCATAAAGAAGTCCTTATTTTCATGATTGGAGGGGTTCAAGTTTTGTATATATCCCTGGCGTGGAGAGCCGATCATTCCTGGTTTAGGCCTGAATTGCCCCTCCCCCTGATTTTTCTCGGAAGCACGCAATACCTGCATATCGGGTACGGCTCCGGAGACAATGGTATCATTCTGGGGGAGTGTTTGCTCCACTTCAAGGTTTGTTCTCAAAGCGTCAATACCTTTGTTAAAGAGTGATTTTATTCAAATTCATCGAAGATTACTATTCACTTTTCGAATCAGGCTGCTTTCCCTTCGCAACTACCAGTAAGCTCCCCGGAGCGACTGTGCTCCCCGGATTACTCGCAATAGCCTGGACCGTGCTACCCACCGCATCATCCGGAACCAGGACATTAATCTCCATCTTCATAGCCTCCAGAATGACCACGACCTGGCCCTTCTTCAACACATCCCCGACCTTCACTTCGACCTTCCAGACATTGGCATCGATCGGTGAATCGATATTGATGGGATTGGGATTCAGTTTTAGGATCTCTTGGAGTCGTTCTGCTTCGCTGGCTTTTGCAGCCTCGATACCGGCTGTCCACTCGGCGTATAGCTTGTGTTCGATGGAGAGTTGTTCCTCGACACCTTGTTTCTGCTTCTCTTTAAATTCGAGGAATTTGGGATCCGTCTTAGCCGATTCGAATGTGTTATAGACCTCTTGCAGATTGAAAATATCCTCACTTTCCTTCCATTGATATCGTCCAGCAATAAAATCGGCTTCGAGTTTATTGTACTCGTCAACTGACACTTCGTGGAAAGTAATCATATTAAATGGCTCCCAGAGCCACGGGTTTGTGGGACTAAATCCTGGCTTGGTACCGAATGTGTCCCAGGTCTCCAGGGTTCTTCCGAGCATCATAAAGCCACCTGGTTGTTCAATCGGGTATAGAGCAAGCAGCGATCCTCCTAGGCCAACGGTACCACCTGGGGTCGAGATTCTAGTTGGGTTGAACTTCTGCGCCGTTATTTGGCTCATAGGGTTCAGAGGGAACAGAATCGGGGTACCAATTAGGAAGCCTACCGAGACGACAAGGAATCTCGATTGCAGCACTCTTTCGAAGGCTTCTCGTCGCGTTGCGAAACCGTTGACTTTACGAACGTACTCGACATTGTCGGGTAGATAGCTGGCTTTGGAGCGAATGGTTCCCATATATCTGTCTATGCTTTCGGTAATTGCTGGGTGATCTAACACGATAGGAAGGGATACGCTCCTGACTGGGAGAGTGACTTCTAAAGTTGGTTCGATTGCGGATTCCAGCTCATCAACCGTCTTCAGTAGCTGATGTTGTGTGATGACCTCCGAGTTGAACTGTATTGTTACACCTATTCCTCTTGTAAGTATACACAAGTCAGGGCGAATAGAAGCTACGCACCAAGAATTGAAGGGTTCATGACCATTCCAGGGATCTTGAGAGCCTCAAGTTTCTGTATCAGTAATCGTATCCGGCAAGTTATTGCTATATCCGCTTTCTGTTTCCCAAATTCAACAATCAGGTAGGAGTCTCCTCCCTGCAAATTCGTCAGCCATATTCATAATCACAATCAGTGTGAGAGGCATTACCTGTCGATACTTGACTTCTGGCCTCATACTTCCATTTTCCTCAACCTTCTTCAAGATCGCACCAATCTCACCCGGAGGCAGTACCAAGTCCAAGACTGGAACATCACCTGACTTGCCATCAACCAGCTTTTGGATCTGGTCAACGAAACTCTCCACTCGTTTCGCTAACACGAGCGAATTATCATATGTCGTGGGTTTGAGGCGAACATGTTCTCCAGGTTTAAGCTGACCCATCCGCCATAAATCTGCAGAAATGACCGTACTTGAGCAGATAAGACCACCTAAATTAGGACTGTCCATAGAAAAGACAACAGGAGAATCACCACCCCAGTTGACTCCACCGAGAGGGTAACCATAGTCAAAGACGTTGGAGGGGTGAGCACCGCCATCACCTCCATCCTTCCTGGCCCATTCGGGGATTGGGCCAACCAGTCGAATACCAGTACGATTAGAGTTGTGACCAATCCTCCAAGCAGTGTTGTACAGCATTTCGCGATCTTTTGCAGTCATGGTGGTGTCGTCGTCATATGGCCCGTGCAAGACATAAACTTCGGTTATATCGAAACTGGGAATGCATGATGCCGGTAGAGTGTATTCCGTAGCTTCCGCTGCCCACATCTCCGTCTCCTCCGCAAGTGCAATATAATCACTGGTCTGAAGTTGCCGACCCTGAGTACCCCCATACTTAAGACTCGGCGTTGCTGATTTTGAACCGAGATATACCGGAACATCTGGAAATCCACCTTTGATTGCAAGATAGTTCCTGCAGCCACCCTTCTTTGCAGCACCAATCTTGAGCTTTTGACCAGCTTTTATAATAAGCCTTGACCACATTGGCTTTTCAACTCCATCAATGGTAACCTGCATAGGTGCACCACAAACTGCAAACACGGCTGATGCAGTGAACAGCAGTTCCGGGCCAGATACCGTGATTTCGAGCGTTTCCAGGCCAGGAGGATTTCCCACCAGAATATTCGCAATTCTGGCACTAATATTATCCATCGGACCTCCGATAGGGATACCATGTCCACTGGTTGCCCGCGCTGGATAATCTTGCACCGTTGTAAATGCACCCGGTTCCAGCACATCAAAAGCAGCAGGCTTGTACTGAAATTTGGTTGAGAGATAATTTGTCAGAGTTTCTCCTTTCTGGAAACCATCAGAGGCAATCACTGCACTAAGATAGTGTAGATTGGTTGCTGGTCCTTGCAACAGGCAGTCTGACAACGTCTTGAGCATCTTTGGCATCGCAGCCTCTCGATTTTCCGCATGGACCATGACTTTCGCCAACAAAGGATCATAGTATGGCGCCACACGCTGTCCAGTTCTTACCCAAGTATCAACTCGAATACCCTCGCCTTTTGGCCATTCTACAGCTTGTAGTAATCCAGGACTTGGAGCAAAATTCCTGTACGGGACTTCAGCGTATACTCGAACCTCAATTGCCGCACCGTTTGGTCCATCTTTCTGTATACTTTTCAAGTAGTCGGTCGGAATACCGATTGCGCCAGACTTTTCATAATCCGCTTGTCGAAGCATCAGAGATACCAGGTCAACATCGTAGCAAAGCTCTGTAATACCATGTTCTACCTGCAATCTGGTGTTCATCTCCAGAAAGAAAAAGTCGCCAGATATATCATCGACTAGGAATTCGACAGTCCCCGCGGACTTGTATTTAAGCTCGGAAGCATACGCAATAGCACATTGGGTAAGCCTTTTGCGCATTTCAGGTCGTTTATGAACATATGGACTTGGGCACTCCTCAATCACCTAGTCATAAAGTCAGCATGAACTCCATTCTAGCAGAAGTAGATGCACACACCTTTTGATGCCGCCGTTGAATGCTACACTCTCTTTCTCCGAAGTGTATGACTTCGACCCCGTTTCCGAAAACTTGAACTTCCACATGTCGACTAGATGGGTAGTACCTCTCCATGAAGACACCTGTGTTTCCAAACAGAGAGTCTCCCCGCCCTTTGACCTTTGCAAATGCGGCCTTGATATCCGTGACTGCATAGCAGACCTCGAGACCCATACCGCCACCGCCTCCAGTCGCTTTGAGCATAACCTGTAAGCATCACTTAGTATACATGGACATGGAATCAAAAGTGGCGCCTACGGGAAATCCCAGATTCGTTGCCGCTGTGATGGCTTCTTCTTCTGATGTGAGCAAGGGCGTCCCAGGTACAACTGGTACACCCGCAGCCACTGCCAGCGCACGAGCACGATGCTTTTGACCCATCTCCAGTATAGATTCCGAAGAAGGTCCTACAAAAATCATTCCAGCCTCTTGCACTTTTTTAGCAAAGTTAACATCTTCACTGAGAAACCCGTATCCTGGAATGACGGCGTCTACTTCGTGATCCCGGCATATCTGCAATAGATTCTCACTGTTATGCCCAATCAGTCATGGTGATGATTGAGGGGATTGAAAGGGACTGCAGTACACATTGAGATATCCATTCACGTTTTGGCCTGACAGCAACACAGCCTCATCAGCCAGGCTGACATGGTCAGAAGTGCTATCACTCTCCGTGTAGACGGACACGCTCTTGATTCCAGCTGCAGCACATGCTCTTATACACCTCACCGCAATCTCGCCTCGATTGGCCACGAGCACCTTCTTGACATGAGAGAAAGTGTATGCCATGATGGCAGCAACGATGAGAACACTTGAAAGTCAGGAGCTATAAGCACTACCTCGGTGCAAAGAGAGAGTTCAGACTTCAAGGCAGAGATGAATTCCTCGCCCTTATTTTGTGGCTCGCCTTGAGACTATCTCCGCCAAGGTAGGTGGGTGGAAAGAGGGGCAACATATTGAAACTTTGAAAGTGGCAGGTTTCCCATCTTTGAGGAGATCCTTGCTCAACCTGCCGAAGTACGGAGGAAGGTAACTGTACTGTACCTATGACAGGCGGGGTTATTGATACGGGGACGTACCCCTGGATGTGCCCAACCGTGTGCCCATCCCAGAGTACATACCTTACAGTAGTACGCAGTAAGGGATCTCCGGAGCCATGGCCGAAGATAATGGGGGTCGCACTGCGGGGGAGATAGGGTGGGCTTATCTTCGGCCATCTCTTATCGCAACATATGCATCATCACCACTGGATGATCTGGAGAAACACCATGTTACAGAACTGAGGTATTTGATAATGGGTGCGCTGAGATCCGGAGTTGATAAGGATGATGATATACATGGTACAGTAGCTGCTCGGTAGAAAGGAGCTTGGGTTCAAATAGGCATTGAAGTCCATAGTGGGGCCAACGGCTGACTAAGCTAATTCCGGGGACCGACGAACCCCTACAGAGTAATAGCCTATATGCACATCCTTGTATACACAGTACCTACGGTATGTACATACACACAGTAAGATCGGGGATTAGAATATCTAGAGAATGTTAATTCATATGTCCGAAAAATGCCAGAACTGGTTAGTTGATTTGGATATTAGGAAGTCAAGTAAATCAGGGGGGGTTGATTGAAATAAGGCTAAACACTTGGGAATTAGCGCGATATCCCCCCTTTTCCTAGTCTTCCCCCATTCTGCGCAACTTGAAACTTCTAAATCAATCAAGAAAACCAAATCTTTTAAATCTCTAGTTCCAAGTCAAAACTAAACTTTTTCAGAGATATAGAGAGAAGGTATCTTGTGATTTCTGCATCTAAAGAGGGATCTATCATCTAATAAACAGTACATATGTATCAGTTGCCCGATACAAAATTCCTCTAACATTCATATTCGTAGACCACTGTATCCCTTTCTTCGATATAATACGCACGCTCACTTAGTCTCTGAAAGGAGCACGCCAACCTTCTCCCCTCCCTTTTCCATCACAACACCACTCTCAGCCTGAAGCTCTTCCCCCTCAATCATTTCCATCCTCTTCTTAGGTGGTCCAGTCTTTGAAATCCTGCCACTGGTGACATATCGTGCAAACTTGATAAGTGTGTCCCGAGATTCCCAGATCGGGAGGAGTGTGATGACAGTTGTAGCGAAGAACGCCCAGAGGAATACGACGCTGATAAGATTTCTAGATTAGCGCCATTTGTTCTATAGTTGGCTAGTGGTAATAACTTACACAATCCAGCCTTTGAAAAACCCCTTTGAGAATACTGGAAAAGGTCAGTGATGCTCTGGGAGAAAGGAGGAGAATACGGACCGTATCTTGTCCCATACATAGGGATTGGCCTAATTCTTGTAGTTAGCACTTTTCAATAAGAATAGGATTTATATGTAGAGAATGGGATTGGGAAGAAATGATAGGTGCAAGTGACTTACCATAGGATTAGATAACTGACCGTCATAACGATACTTGCTATAATAGCCCATTTTCTAGCTCTAAGCAAGATCTTCTCATTCTTTTCATCTTCAGTCCTGGCAGCTTCCATCGCAGCCTCCTTGTCAGCCGCCGACTCGCGAGAGGTTTGCTCATCCCCCTCCTCATAATCATCAGCCGGTCTGACCTCCTTGAACTTCTCAAAATCGTAGTTCTCCGACCTGATAAAAGTGAAGAGTGGCGTCAGGACGAGTGGTGAACAGAGCGAGCATATGTTCCCCGCAACAAGCGGAAGGTTCGCACTGAGTGTCGTGATAGTAATTACCCCTTCCGTTGAATGAGCCGTGAGAATCCATGCGAGAATTCCGGCGGCTGAGCTAATGAGTGGAGCTGCGATCACGGCAAATTTGGATTGCTTGCTCCACATGATCGTGCAGGCCATAGGAACAATAGCGGAATCGACCAAGATACCTGAAATGGTGACGAGGAAGCTGACCGAGAAACCCGCATGGTTCAAGCCAGCAGCTATACCAGCGGTAACAATAGCGAAGCCAGGTACTATCATATTTGAAAATCGCAGCAGTTGCTTTCCTGTCGCTTTGGGGTTGATGTATGATTGGTAGAGATTGTATGTGAGCAGGGCGGTTGTGGCGACTGTTTCGGATGACATGGCTGATGTTACAGCCATGAAGACCATAAGGAGGATGGCTGCTCCCCCGCCTTTCCCCATGATAGAGAGCGCAGCATACGGCAATGCTAGGCCTGAGGAAACCTCGTATTCATTCATGCGATTTGGGTATGTGGGGAAGCTTGGCAGATGTTCGGTAGCTGCTGCTGCCAAACCGAAAGTTGTCGCTAGCACGAAGGGTATTGTGAACCAGGACGTTCCTCCAAGAAGGTATCCCCCTAGTGTTCCCGCGGGATCAGCTGCGATTGCTTTCTGGAAAAGTTGAGAGTCGACTGCTGCAGCAAAACCGGTTCCTACAAATACCAGGCTGTAAAAGTTTCTGAAGTTAGTAATAGATCTTTCAACAGGGGATGAAAGTATAATATCAGAGATTATAACTTTACCCAATATAGCCGCCTTCTACACTTCTCATAGTCAGATAGGAGCCTTGAGCGTTGCCTTCTACAGGATGGAGCCCAGCTGCTTCAGTGAGAAGCTCCCACATCTTGTCGCTGGATCCAATCACGGATGAGGTGGTGTAGACGACGAACGCAGACATTAACATAATGACGAAAATAATTACTGTATGAATCTACTGAGAGGTCAGTCATGTCATATATACTTACAATGTTTAACTTACCCAATCTGTCAGGAAGGTGGCTTTGATACCACCACACAGTGTATAGATAACCTAGAGTTGTCAGGTATCATATAAACCAAAGCCTCGACATACTTACAACTCCAATAGGGAACAAGAAGCACAGCGCATTGCGGTCGACACCTGTAAGAATGCTAAATACAGCACTACCTCCGACAAGAAGACTGACTGTCAAAATGACCTGGTAGAGCAAACAGTAACAACACAGGACAATGTGAGCAGGCGCGCCGTATCTGTGTTTTGCAATTTGCAGGAAGGTCTTTCAAGTCAGAATATTGTTCTTTGGCCCTGCAGTTGTAGAGGTTTGGGTGGCGTACTTGCGCATGAGGGGCTTTTCGTTTCAATTCGATTGCGGCCACCGAAAACAGGAGGATCTGGACACTTGCACCAGCTCCGTACTATTACCAGGTATTAGTATACATGGTATTTTCTAAGTTCAGGCCTTTGAACCTACCCAGAACGGCCCTGAAATTCCATAAGAGTAACCATCTGCAAGTTTTGTGATGTTAAATGCTAAATTCCAGGAAGGTACCAAAAGTTATACAGTTATACTCTGAATGCGCAACTTACATGATGTAGAACTGAGAAGCGTTGCAGCAATTGTCCATGATGATACCACAGCAGATGCAGTCAGCCCGGTTTTGACGGAATGCTTCGCAGTCATGAACATCTCCGAGTCCTGCTTCTCTTCAAAGTATTTCGAGAGAAAGAGGGACACCATGGACATGCCGATGGCAAATGCTGCCCCGAGTCCAACGACAATTCCATAACCAACCCCTTGACTAAAGGGAGGTTCGATTTGAACGCCGTTCGCCATATCGAAATCGGGTTTTGTCAAAGATGATGGGATTGTTGGTGAAATCAGAATAAAACCAGTCACCTCTGTCCATGGTTATAAAAAAACAAGGTTACACCACTTGAATGTACCTATCATCCATGACCTACCCTTGAAGATACATCCATGACCTACCTCGCATCGAGATGCTGCGATGTGAAGATATTGACAAGGCTGAGCTTTCTCAAATGATACACAAATTTAACGGAAGTGGCAGCCAGTTCCACGCGACCTGCAGAGCTACGCAGATAGGCCGAGTTGGAGCTTATCGGTATCAGTGACAAGGGCCAATATCTCGATTGAAGGTGGGCGCCGCCGTTGCCTCTGTATGTCTTGGTTCCCATGTATAACACCCATCTTTGCGAGATCAACTGCCGATCGATAAGAAGTTCGTGGGTCGAAGACAACCAATCAAGGTGCCCAATGAGAGAGAGGCAGGACCTGGGTAGATTGAGTGCAGGAAAGGCCCACTGCGGAGGCTAGTCAGCTACCGTCCCTCTATCAACATCATAATCAAACTCCATACTCCGGATTCCGGACTCTCCTCTCCATCATGCTCCGTCTCCTTATCTTGTATCGTTTGGCCGCTCCCGGGGTTACCCCCCTCTCCTTACAAATCACCCCTCCATTCTTGAGCGGCATCGTAAGGACTATGTTGAGCTCTCCAAAAGTGGCCAAGACACGTGTGGCTCTGTGGAGACTGGTCACTTTGCCATATCAATGTGTCATAGCTTCAAGCATAGCCAATTTATATTCTCTTGCCTTGCGCAATGCGTTGTCTCTTTCTCTCTCCCCGCTCTATCAGGAATTCATAACTTCATAGACTAATAGCAAGGCTCTTCGCGATCATGGAAGACATAGTAAAGAAGATCGAGATCAATTGTGATATGGGGGAGGGGTTTGGCAGATGGAAGATGGTACTTACCCCGCAATGCCTCGATTCAGCATGAGATAGAGTCTGTTAGCTAAAGCCAGAATTAGGGACCAGATGAGGAATTGATGAAGTACGTTGACGTCGCGAACATTGCCTGTGGTTTCCACGCCGGGGATCCTTCTATAATGGTCAAGTCGGTCAGACTTGCGAAGGCACACGGCGTCAAAGCGGGGGCACATCCAGGACTGCAAGGTACGCGCGCCTCGATCCTCTTCCCTGTACCTGATTGACAATGTATCGCTAGATCTCTTTGGCTTTGGACGACGTCGAATGACCGTCGACCCCGCCGATATGTACGCGATGGTTCTCTACCAGGTCGGGGCCCTCAAAGCCATCCTCGACGCCGAGGGTGTTCCTCTCAACCATATCAAGCCCCACGGCGAGCTGTTCTTCTACATGCAACGGGATTTAAAGATCTGCAGAGCTGTATTAGAAGCATGCGCTCTGTTCAAGGTCCCGATCTATGGCGCGAAGGGCTCGGCCGATGAGAAGGCCATTTGCGAGGAGCTGGGCCTGCCATTTATTGAGGAAGCATATGTGGATGTGGCTTACGACAAGAATGCAAAGATCATGCCCATTGGGCAATTCAAGACGATCACCACGGAGGAAATTTACACAAAGACTCTGTTAATTGGTCGGACGGATCATAGTATCGACGTGGATGGGGACAAAGTACACCTTGGGTTTGGTGGAAAGCCCTTCAGCATTTGCCTGCACTCAGATATGCCCACAGCGCTGGAAAATGTGAAGCAATTGAGGAAAGCAGTGGACGAGCTTAATGCGGAGAAGTTTCCGACCGCCAGCTGAATAGTTGAATAGTGAATAATGAAGAATTCATCTCTTGAGGTTGCAGAAGAGTGACTCCCCCGAAGTGCAGATTCGACCATTGATTTTACAGGGACTGAATGCCCGGAGTATGTCTGTTAGAAATATGCTAGGAGATTATTCGAATCTTGGCATGCCTAGAGAATACATTAATTGCTATTCTGTTGAGATTGTCGGTATCAGTTATTAAAGGGGGTTGTCCATAGTTTACAAAGGCCGAGTCCTTACACCCTAAACTGATCAGAATGTATATTAGACAGTAATTAAAACCAGACGACGAAGCATCGTATGAGAACTTTCACATATGCTACTCTGGGTATCTCGATTTAAGACTCATGCTAAGGTAAACTGACAGATAGCCCTTTGCTAGGTATCAAGCGAGACTCAAGTCATCGATGCTTCTGCCTCATTGGCGAGACGCAGCATGTCCTCGTCGGTTACTCCTTCCAGGTCATAGTCATCTTCCAGGACATCGTTATCTTTCAGGACATCGTTCACTTTCAGGACGTCGTCATCTTCCGGCAAATAGTTATCTTTATCTTTTAGGGTATAGAGGATTTCTCGTATGGCGTGATGATCGAACTCATCTCCCAGGCCATCGATATATTCATCCAGCCAAGGATCCCTGTTGAAGTCATCTTCGGAGTCATCGTCGAAGTCGTCTTCAGAACGATAAATGGGCCAGCCATATCTGTCAAACCTTTTATTAGGTTCGGCAGCTTGCTTCAACAGCTTATTCTCGTAGGCTTCGGCGATTATGGATTTGTAATCGACCTGGAAGAACGGCCAGGAGGTATTCGAATGTTGCTCCGAAATACGGCGAGCGTCTTCAACCCATTCAGGCGGGTCGAGTACACTCAGTTGACGTCGCCCGGACTGTATGTGTCTGTAATCGCCCAAGAAGATAGGATGCCCATTGAATTGGAGGTGGTTTTGGAGGAGGTGTATTGTTGACTCGACGAATTTCAATTCTTTCATGTCTTCAGCACGCTTGTCGACGTCGTCGTCGCAAAGCTCAGCCGGAGCATAATGACGTTCAACAATAGTAAGTCGTTTCAAACGTGGAAAAAGCCTATGCAGAGAATACAAAAAAGTGCTGAATCTATCACTAGATTCCAGAGCAAGTTCGACAGCTGGAAGGCTCAAGGAGACTGAGAGAGACTCAACCATAGACGTTTCGTCCGTAGGAGTTAAGGCTGGGATCTCCCCAGAAGGATCGTAATCCACACCGGATATCCGATACCAGTACGCAGATTTATGCAAACTCCTCAAGGAGTTGAAATCGATATGTAGTGTATCACGATGAAAATCAAAATAGGTCTGAGGGAAGGCTCCCTTGGCTCCAAACGCCGCAGTATAGGATTTGGAAGCCACACCAAAGGATTCTTTGCAGACGAGCAACAAGGAAGGTATACCTGATTCAGAGTAAACCCCATGCAAATGCGCTGGACGATGAATGCCAGGTAGTTCGATTGCTCGATGTTTTTCCGGCCGCATCAAAATGGCCTTCGCATCCGCTCTCGTCATCCTCCCTGTAAATTTATCATCCGGTGTCAGAAGCCTTTTACAGGCCATTTTCCTCTCAATCTTATCAAGCTCGTAGTCCTCAATGTCGAAGAAATCGTAACTGGATTCATCATCATCGGCGTCGTCGGCTTCGGGGTAGGGAGCAGGGCCGGCAGGACCTTCAATTGCTTTGTCGGACCGCACCCTTTTCCACCAGGATGGGTCATCGTCGGTTCGTAGCCGTCTCGCCTTGATATAAACAATCCGCGGATCCGGCAAGGCGAACTTCCAGATCATGAGGCGCACTTCGACGGGTAACTTGTTGAAGCAAGTAAAGGAGATTGTCGGATTCGAGTCATGAGAGGTCGAGGAATGCGGTGCCATTTTGGAGCTTCATTGCCTTGTTGGCTCGTGGAAGAAATCGGGGGGAGCGGTGTAGGCATTTTAATGATGTAGAAATTTTAACGATGTAGCTAATTAGAATAGTTTCTAAGTTAGGCGTTCCTTCCTTTATAGAACAGCCTTCCCTTTCTACTCTTTTTAAGCTTATTTTTTAAGCTTTTGCCTCTTCGGTAGCTCTCTTATTCTATAGTAATCAACACTCGAATTTTAAGAGTATTAAAATCGATCGATTTAGCTAAAGTTTACGCGTAGGGGTCTACCGGTAGAAAGGGGCGCGATAAGGGGGGGGGGGGGGCTACGTAGGCCTAGGTAAGGGGCGACAGGGCCGCGCAGGCCTAAGGGGACGACGCGGTTACTAAGCGCCTCGCTACGCCTGTGCCTTCTAATTGGCTACATCGTTAAAATATCTACACTATTAAAAATTCTACATGATTAAAAGCTACTATAGCCTTTAAATAATTATATTATTAAAAATCCTATATAATTAAAACAACTACATGATTAAAAATTTTATAGCTATAGATATCTTATTGATTTTAAAAGCGGGTCTCATCTTATAGCTGTAAAATAGATTAATTATATATACAGGCTGTTATCTCCTCTATAAATCCCGCTAAGGTACACTTCAGGTACGTGTACTTTTGATGGGAGCCTTATGGGAGTCCCTGCGTCGCTTGACGCGTGCGCTCTACCGAGGTACCGTAAACCATTGACGGCGCTAGTGTCGCATCGCGAGTGAAGAAACACCCTTGGACCCCTATTCATTACCTACCTACTTGTGACAAGAAAAAGTCTCCGAACAGCATACATCTCTCTGCGACGAAACTCTTTATTTAAAACTTTTAAGGTATTCTATAGAATTAGAACACAAAAAATCATGTCTACATTATTATTTTAATTTTAATAATATATACGTGATTAAAAATATTTTATTATTTAATATTATATACTATTATTATTTCTAAAGGGTTTATTTATTTAATATCATGTCTATAGATACATTATTTATATATATATAGTATTATAAATATTAATCAGGTATATATAGTAAATAGAAATTAATCTTGTTAAAGCCCTTTATTTTTTCTATATAGTCTTAAAAGCATTATATCTTCGCGTATTTTTCTGCTAAGGTACCTAAGGTACATGGATACTTTATATATAAAATACAATCTAGGTCATGTTATCAAGTTAAAACCTCCTAACAACTCAGTGCTTTCACTCAATACAGTACTACACACCTCGTAAGCTATCGAAAATCAGATTTACCAGATTAAAAAGTCTATTCGAAATCATAAATTATATCACTATGGTACAATGAATGACTTCCTATCTCTTATCTGGTCTTACACCTTGGTTTTTCATGTGTCTCGTAACGAATGTGATGATGTACAACTTTTTAAATCCTCCCTAAACCCATATCCTGTTTCCCATATCCTTTGATCCCAAATCCCAATTTTATACATCTTGCATTTAGCAAGTGGTGATGAACAAACCGATGGGGCTTGGGTTCCAGTCCTGGAAGTAGTTGAGGCTGGTTCCAGAGACAGAGCTGATCTTGTAAGAGACAGTCTGGCCAGCGGGGCAAGAGAAGCTGGAAACAACGGTGGAGGAACCAGGGGTGACAGTGAAGTTGCCAAAGTCAGTCTTGACGCTGCCCTCAGTGGCGTAGGTGGTCGTGTTGGTGGCCACGGTGGTCAATTGCGCGAAGTCAACCTCGCCGTTGCCGGAGAAGCTGAAGGAGGAGGTCTCGAGTTGGTCCTTCTGGGGGAAGAGGAAGACAAGAGAGCAAGTGCCAGTGTAGGACTTGGGGACGTCGAAGTTGAAGATGGAGCTGATGTCGGAGGTGATGGTGCCGTTGTAGGATGTGCCGAAAGACTTGTCAGGCGACGAGGCGGAGACAGGGACGATCAGGTGAGGGTATTGGTATTGGCCGTTGAGGTTGGCTGGGCAGCTCTTGGGGCCACCAGGGGTGGAAGGAGCAGAAGTGGGCTGAGTTCCGGCGGGGCTGCTTCCAGCGGGGCTGCTTGCTGGGCCAGCTGGGCTTGCGGGGGTGCTTCCAGCAGGGCTGCTTCCTGGACCAGCGGGACCGGCAGGGCTGCTTCCGGCAGGGCTGCTTCCTGGACCAGCGGGACCGGCAGGGCTGCTTCCGGCAGGGCTGCTTCCTGGACCAGATGGACCGGCGGGGGTGCTTCCAGCAGGGCTGCTTCCTGGACCAGCGGGGCCGGCAGGGCTGCTTCCAGAGGGACCGTTACCTGGGCCAGCTGGGCTGCCTGGGGATTGAGCAGGAGGAGACTGGGCAGGTGGTGATTGAATAGGGATGGTGGTGGTCTTGGGACCAGCTGGGCTGCTTCCGGAGGGACCGTTTCCTGAACCAGCTGGGCTGCTAGGAGATTGACCAGCAGGAGAGGACTGGGCAGGGACCGATGACTGAGCTGTGGTCTTGGAACCAGTTGAGCTGGCAGGAGATGAAGATGCGGACGAAGAGTAGCAGCCGCTTGCGGTCAGGCCAATGGTGACACACTTCTTCTGGCCAACGACGGGAGTGGTGTAGATGTTCCACTCGGTGTCAGAGGCAGGGCAGGCGTAGAAGGTTTCCGAGCCGTTGTGAGAGATCTCACCGCTGCTGCTGATAGCGAAACCACCAGTTGGGGCAGCACCGCTGTCACACTGGAACTGTTCGACCTCGGGGGTGAGAATGCATCCTCTGCCGTTGGAGTCGGTGATGGCGCCGTTGCTGATGGAGTAGCTGGCAGGTGGGAGGCCACCTCCGATGCGGTTCTGTCCATCGCTGAGCTGTCCCATGGTTCCTGGCTCACCACCGGTAGCGGTGATGCCGAAGGAGCAGGATCTGGGGATGGAGGCCGCAGAGGCACCGGCCGCGAGGGCGAGGGAGGCAAGTGCGTATCTCATGGTGGACCGAAATAAATGAGATAGGATGTCAAGAGTAGGTGTCGATGTGAACGAGAGGGTAGTGGTTTGGATCGTTCAATTCTGATGGGGGAACAGATGAATTATATACACATCAGGTCTCTGAGGGCCGGCTGGGAATTTACACAGTTCTCATTACACATGGATTCTAGTCCTCAATTGAGACAACTAGGCAAACCCCAATCATGATCGGTCCCAAAGTTCGATGTCATTCTTTTCTCGGAGTTGAGAAGGGCGAGAGGAAAGCTTTTCCTGTGCTAGCACGCCCTTCTTGCGTCAGCGATCGAGTGAGAAAGCCATATTGTACCAGCTTCCCCACAAGATGGGCGTTCTCCTCACGCCTCGAATTGGCCACGGACCACATAAAGTGAACGAAGCCCAGGGTTCCCCATAAAAAGCCAGGTCCACTTGGGCGCTGGGAATCTCGGAATTGGCTTCCTGTTGGTAGGGCAGGTAGGCCGCATAAGCGGTCTTGAGCTTAATTGGACGGAAACAGTGGACTTTGGACAGGAACAGGACTCCGAGCATCTTCGGTCAAGCAATTGACATTACCGATGACGAAAAATTCTTCTCGGTTCGAGTTCCGTCTGAGAATAATGTGGAAGAGTGTACCCCTCTCTGACCCTCCACACCACATGAAGTATGGATCCAAAGCATTGCAGAGGATTTGATGATATTTTTGGAAGAACTACTTCGGTCTGATATCAATCAGAGACTTGACGTTGCGCTCTTTGTCGTTGACCCAGCGTGAATTGGCCACTCAATGTTGAGGATGGCAGATGGCAGAGATGGAAACGGCACGAACGGTTGGAGGTGGCAAAAGGTCTGGCTTAGTAATCAGTCTAAGGTCCCTCTACGCATATAGCGCAAGGGAAGTCACCAATCGCAAGAGGACGAGAGCAATATTCCCTCAAACTTGGGCCTGGTACCTGTTCCAGTCAATGTGCCTGGGCAGGCACAAAATCTTGGCTGATGGAAGGGGGTTCCGGCGAAGAGAAGCCATCACGTGACATGAGGGGCACCCCCCAACATCATCAATGCCTAGTAGAGTAGCATTACCGTGGATTCGTGGAAGGAGTTTCTAACTAAGTCGTCAAGTTGATTAGTTTTCTTTGTCACGGCTATTACTTTGAACGGAGAGCTGTTATGACTTCACTACTCGGCAAGTTGAGAGAGTGCAAGTGAAGGCGAGCTCGGCTGACGCATGGCCCATTCATAGAATATCAAGATCCTTTTCATGATCTTCTCGGGCGGTTTTCACGGAAGTCTCCAGTTAAGCCGCGCTGCATCCCAAGTTTCCGGAAAACAAAACGGAAATTTCAACACAAGTCAGGGGTTTCGGAGGTCTTAGAACGGGGCAGCAAACAGCGACGCCTTACGGTCCCAGGAATTCTAGATGTTCCTGAGTTCCCCGAAATTTCTACGGTTTTCGTCACTCCACAAAGAGCGGAATTTGGTTCTATAAAAAGAACTGACATCTATCTATAGAAAAGTTACGCCGGTGTTGTGAGATTACGCAAGCTAGCCTCAAGCCACCGAAGATCGTGTACGCCTCTTCCGTCAAGTTGACTGTTCAGCCTTGTGCAGGGCTGAGCTCCTCTTCGTAAGCAGACTCGAAAGTTGGCACGGAGAAAGGGGTGGATATTGGCAGAATGGAGCGGCGCTTCTTGGCATTGCTTGTCATTAGCTGTCTCAACCTGTCTCCCACTTCTTCTGGCAATTAGGGCACCGTTTTGACTTCAACACCGGTTGTTCCAGTTCCTGGAAGTTCAGATTCCGACAGCCATTTTGCCTTTTGTTCGAGTGGATATTTTGATTTATTTTCACATGGTCCAATTCCTAAGAACTTAGGCTGGGAAGGCGTGTGAGATTCCATCGGCTCTTCTCGTCACCAACCGTTCTTTTCTTGACCTTTGGCTTCAGAACTACAGAACTGCTGATTAGAATCCAGCCGTCTCCATCTTCGAGCAAAGATCTTGTCATCGGCCTGGTGGACATATGACCGTAGACGGCTGACAGACGTATCTGAAAATACCCTCATTCACACCCATCATTCCCAGACCTGTCGACAACTAATATTCAACCTCTTTCCTCTCATATAGCCTCTCCATTTCTCATACTCTTTGGGTGTGGCGGTCCCCACCGGCCATTCCTCAAGCCACGGAGGACACGTGCCGGCCATGACTTTCGGCATAGCATGCCAGGCCCACCGTGTCTGGCCCGACATCTGGACCACATCACCGCTGCGCACTCTGATCACAACCATTTCCTGCTCTCGATCCTCATCCCCTTCGTCAGCATCAGGATACTTGTCCCGGGCGATAACAAAGAGCCCGTCGCACCCAAGACTGAAGCTGGCGAGCCCACGCTCGCATTCCTCTGAGACGTCGCGGTGCACGGGCATATAGTCTTTGGGCGAGTAGAGTAGGACGACTCCGGATTCTGGTGTGAATGAGTCTTGAAATAGTGACGTGACCAGTGCGGAAATGTCAGGTGGGAATGGCGTGGGAGAGGACGAGGGGTAACTTCGTGTGTTCCAATTATATTGAGAGCCTATGGTGAGCCAGCGCAGTTTCTTTTGCAGGAATTGCGCCGTGTTAAGCGGTTTATGATTCGAGTTTGGTTTGAGAGGCGTGAAGACATGGCCTTTATAGGACTGAGGATAGCTAAAAAAGGACAATCGGGAATCACCTCCTTCAGAGAGTGGTGGGAACGGAATGTCATAATCCTGTTGAATGTTCGTCATGTGAAGCGGATTTGACAGGTCGCGGTGGAGCAACCTGTCAAGGAGAATAGACTGGCATTCGGGAGGCAAGAGGGATGGTAGCAGCCTCAATCCTAGCATAACGGTCAGACCATTGCTTTCAGCACGTGAAATATCAGCTGACCATTAAAATCCTTATGCTCATATACTGTGCAAGCATCAGGTACATCATTCAAGCCAAGAGACTCTCCTTCCTGACTTTGGCCATATGATTTGAAAACCTTCCCTGCAGCCGCAATCATCTCAGATGGAACTGTGGCCACAGGGACTATTTTTTGCTTTTGGACGTCACTCAACCCTCTGCGGAAATCAACAATTTCAAGATCTTCGTCGACGGCTGAGTTCTCCATCCTCTGATACTTCTTATACGCATCACATATTGCCTGAGGAGGCAAGGCATGGGTATCATGGTGATGACTTTTCTACTCAAAACCTGTCAAATCCGTGCTGCATGGCTCAGAAGGGACCTAGATATGCGTACGCGTTTCGGGTCATCCATCTGGAATTGACGACCTGCTCTGTCTCTGGATCTGTACAGTTGACTGCGGCGACCCCTGCTCGCTGGTAGCTCTTTGATACGAATTACTCTCGGTAGCGATATAATTCTGCGCTTTAACTGTAGCATTGACGGTTTCACTCAGACAGTTGTAAGTGGAATCAAAATCTTCAGAGCGAGAAATCAGGAGGGCTTAGCGAGGGGCTAAGGGGGGAGACCAATAAGGTTGAAATCTCGTTACTCATTTATTACATAACCCACCCCTATTTCCTTGCCCCTTTATTCTCCAGAGTTTGATTCGCAATACAACAAATCTTGTGAACCTTGTTTCACAAATAATTGTTGATGGTTCCTACATAACCATCCTTGATTTACACTTGACTCGTACTCAGCTTATAAGTCTTTCGGGGATACCGTTTCCACGCAAGAATACCTTACTTTATGTACTCGCTGCCACCAAACTTGTTCTTCGCAAGAGTTCCGCGGGACCGTAGGCCCAGAAGCCTGCTCTCCTTAATATTTCCTGTCTTTCAATAGAACCAAATCGCTGACGACACATGACACAATCCCCTTCATTGCCCCATTCCCATCCCATCGCTTTATACTACCGTTTTCATGTCTGGACCAAGCTATGCATCTCTTGATCTTGGCCACTACCGAACGACAGGTCCTTGAGACTACCACCTCTTTCAACTAACCAGGCGTGGCTCGCTCGTATGACCCCAGAGAACCGTTGTAGTACTTCCTGAGAGGGCTGTTGCGGCATTGTATCAGAGATTATTCAGCAATCATTGGGTTTGAAAGTAGGTTCATATTCCTCTTGGAGAAACGCTTGTGCCAGTCGATGTATTTTTGCGAGCGTGTGTGCCACTTCGGATTGCGAAGTAACAGAGGCTTTTGGAATCGTCTTCATAGCGTATATTCGTTGGGTATCCTTCTTCGAGTCTTGCATAGTCGGAAAAACCACCCTTTCCAATAATCCTTAAACGCTCGCAACTCTCAATTTCTGGCCGTGTCTTATTTTCAACCTATTCAACGCCTATACGGATCTTTCCTGTGCCATATTGGACGTCCAACCATTCCGCACCACTCTGATGCAGAGCCTTTTCTCTTTAATTGAACTTAGGATCCTCAACATATTTTTAGCTTTCCTCGAACCGGGGACTGATTCGTGCTACACTAAAGGGTTCTCAGGAGTTCCCGAAACGGTTTTGACAAGCACCTGGGGCTTGTCAAGGCCTAGAAGGGCATAAGGTAGGTATTTGGAGGAGACTCGGCCGCGATTTATAGGGGTTGCTTTGAATCCACCGCTATATATCTGCGGACTTGTACTGTTAGTATATGGATTCGAAATCTTTCGAGTCTGTTCTGCTGGGCTCAAATGGACGGAGCCTGCTACTCCAGATTCAGTGCCCCGCACGAGAGATCCTGTTGATGGTTGTTGTACTGTTGCTTGTATTGGTCTGGCAGGCGAAGCGTGGGTGAAATTGATACATCTATCAATCTCAAAGGAGCTGATGTTCCTCTCTCCGGTGTAGTGTTTGCGAAAGAGGAATCGAGAGAAGGTGGGATGCCCTCCCTGCCAATCCTTTCCTCTCGGCCTGCAGCGGCGAAATTCTCTCCGATGCGTTCTTGAGCTCTAATAATCTCTTTTTGAGCCATCAATAGGTGAATAGGTATGACGTCTTACTAGACAAAACATTCGAGCGAACCCCCGGGCTTGAATTCGTCGTCGTAATCCGAAACGAGGTGAGGTGTAGCGAGACACCTTATCTATTATCCTACCAAATACTACTTTTTACAAAGCCTGTGTACGAACAAGTTAAAAAAAGCTGTCCTGGCTATTGGACAACAATCTTATATTGGAGTTATTATATGCGTGGACGGTGGACTACACTTGCAGGGTGAATAAGAGCAGGTTTATAATCGAGGATACTAATCGACAACAGAATACTTAATCGACAACAAGAAGACAATCGACAACAAGAAGACAATCGACAACAAGAAGACAATCGACAACAACAGGACAATCGACAACAACAGGACAATCGACAACAAGACACTCAAGAGCTCAAAACAACCAGACAGCCGGCGGTAGCTCCTCAGTTTTGGTTGGCAGATAGACGGAGGGTGGATGCGATCAAACCAGGAGATCGGAAGCCTCCGAACGAACTCTGTATTGCTACCATGTAAGGGGCAACCCTTGACCATCGTGTTAAGTCTCTTGATTGATCAAGCTACCAGACATTATTATATACATGATGTAAGCGAGGGGCACTTGACAATTCTCAAGAGATAGTTTCGCGCCTCCTAGTATTACACACCTCACAAGCCATTTGAACAAGTCCAATATTCAATCCATCCATCCTTTTCATAGTACAACCTACTGTTGCTCTCCAGGTACTCCCAATACCCGAACATATCGCAAGACCAAAATACGATAACAAACAAGGAGTAAGCTGTAACCTAACCCCCAATATACCTATAGAGAGAGGGTATCCTATAAAGATCTAATCCACCGGTCAACGAAATGATTAAATGTGTAGCGGAAAGAAAAGGAATCAGCATTTGAAAAGCGTGTTTTGAGATTTCGTGAGTGTTATACCGTACGTTATTCATGATTATTCATTAGAGAATTAAACAATTGGTTTGTTAAAATAATGAATAAATAGTACCTTAGCTATGAATGAGTAAAACTTGAGGCATGTATAGTACGAGCTTAGCAATTTCTACCTAATGACTGACTGATCCATCATCCCCACTTGTCCAAAAATCTCTTTTCTTTTAAAACAGGAACTCATATTTCCAAAGATACAATATAAAGCTATTCCTACTCTCAAAGTTATATCCTTAAAGATACCTACCTTACCTAGGGACAGGATTATTATTCAATAAGAAACTACCTTATAGGAGAAGTGCTATGACTTCTTCTCGCTTAACCCCTTTTCCATCCCCTCCCTCCCTCCTCTCTCGAGAGAGAGTCTCTGAATGAATGGTTCTGGAGATTGGTAGGTTAGGTAGGTAGTGTAGTGTATGATTCACGATTTAGTATTCACCAATTCTCTACCTACTTCTATTCTGTATGTATATAAATAAGGGAGATATCTTCTTACCTCTACAACTCTCACAACTCCTTCCCACACTACAACACCCAAACAAGCCCATCAAGCCCACTCAACCTACAAAACCCATAATCATTCCTCAAATCCTAACAAAAACCAAAAACCAAAAACCATGCCCACCGCCTCCTGGCGCAAACAAAACTCCGGTTCGTTTCCCCCTTCCCTTCCCCTTTCCCCATCCCCTATCCCCAACCCCAACCCCAAACACCCCAAACGTCAAACTTTTTCTGACCTTTTAAAAAAAGGCAATGTCCGCGGTCTCGCACGTCGCAAAGGCGAGCACAGATTCTGGCGCACGGGCTTCGAGGTTGAGGAGTGCGTGCTGGAACATGAGATGTTTAGGGGACATCGTGAATTACCGCCTCTGTCGGCGTCGGCTACGAGAAGGAGAGAGAGGCAGAAGCAGAGGATGAGGGGTGGGATGGGTGTGGGATGTTGTGTTATGTAAGGATGGGAGGGTTTTTTTTCTTTTTTCTGGTTTGGGTTTGGGTTTGGGCTTGGGCTTTGGGTTTGGGTTTGGGTTTTGGTTTTGGGTTTTGGGAGGGGGGTTGATAATGGTTTAGAATAGGCAAATATCGATTGATCTTCTATCCCTCTCTCTCCCTCTCTCTCTCCCCCCTCTCCCTTTTTTCTAAACCCCTATCCCCCGTCCCATTCTCCATTCCAAGGCAGTCAACTTCAAGATCATAACATAACCCAAGCTTTTAAACTCCTAAGTCCTTACATCTGCCCCCCTTCTCTGTCTCTCTATAATAGAATTCAGGATAGGAAATAGATACTGCTATATCAAGAAGAAGATCACTAGATATGTATCTTATTGTACCTTCCTTTTTCTTTTACTTTACTTCTATGTAAGAGAAGAAAACTAAGAAAAAGTAATAATACCTACCTAGGTACCTTAGACAAGAGAAACAGAGAAACAGGATTAAGGAGTAGTGTAGGTAAGAGCTAAGATGAGTAAGAGGGTAAAGCCTAGACATTACTTTAAGCTAGGTATATAGAGACACAGTTGTTAGGTAACCGAAGAAGGGAAAGCGAGGGGGGAGACATGTCTCAGAATCTCAATCCATAATCACATGCACAAAAGATACTTCATGCCTTGATCGTCTCGTTCCATTCATTCATTCCATTCATAAATCGCATCCTCACTCAGATATCTTTAAACACTACCTATTCCCCACCCTCATCCACCCATCCCATCCCATCCTAGCCCACCCCTATCCATACCAAGACTCAACCCATCCCACCACATCATCAATCATGACATTAATAAAAAACCTTTAATCTTATTCCTAATCTTTCGAAGCCGCCCACGGGGAGGAAGAAGCAAGCAAACAAGCGAAGAAGGATATCCCGAGAACATAAAGCTGCTGTGAAGAAAACTGGTCGTACGAAGAGGGTAATAGCAAGGAAGCAAGATGCGATATGGTGGTCCAACAATTATCGGTAACAATGTCGAAGGATCGCGCGCTGGAAGCAACAAGAACATGCTGAATCGAGCACTAGGGCCACCCAGATAAAGGATATATAAGCAATCGTCGTGGTGCGATCGTCATTAGATGAAAGCGAGGGACGTCGAGAGGGATTGGAGTAAGATCATGCATCTCCCTCCTTCCGCTCCTTCCTGCTCGTGCGCTCATTCCACCGCCTCTTGCCGACCCGTGTCTCGAAGTGTGGCGTCTTGCTCGGGTCTTGCCCGGCCTGCTCCATCGACGAGCGCATCTTGATGCGGTAGAGGTCCACTGTGCGTGTCAGTCCCCAACCTCCAGCCAAATACCGACGTAGACTTACAAGCTTTCTGCAGGAAGACCGATTTCTCATTAAAAACGCGGCTCTGATGCCACGCCATACGATACCCCAATTCATTGATCTTGACCTCCTTCCCCCGTATACTCTTCCTCATCCGTGGGGCCGCGACCTCAGCCTCCCCACCATCCGCGAGTGGGACCTGTACCATGGTACGCCCTCGCCTCGCGCGTCCGGTATCCTCATCATCCGGATCGTCGTCCTCGAAGAAGCGGGACCCGTGTGCCGATGGCGGCGGGTCCTGCATCTGCATGGGAAACCATGAGCGCGGGTACACAGAGTTGCTCTTGCGGAAGGAGTCGGGGATCTCGTTGATGTCGACCGTGTCGAGAGTGACACGCACGCGCACCCTTTGCATCTTGGCCGGGTCGTCGACGATGATGAACTTGCGCCGTTTTGATTCGGGGATGTCACCGAACAGCGAGAGGCGGTCGTCCTCCTCGGACTTTGACCGTGCGGCGATGGGGTTGGAGCCGTGAGACATCGGCGCTCTAGCATCGTGCATTGTCGGAGCGATCGAGGCCCCGCCTACAGGTGGGTTGGGGGGATAGCTCCCGGAGTAGCCAGGGAAGACGTGACTCTGTCGAACATCATCTGGCGGGCCATGGGCGCTTGGGTGATGGTGCTCGTCGGCATATGCCTCGTCACCTATATATTATGACCTGAGATTAGCTTCACACTTCAACCGGAAAGCGAAGACGATCAGACGTGAAGCAGAGACAGTGGTGCAAAGACATGATTGTGTTGGGGTATGGGTGTGTAACGCCAGGAAGGAAGCCAAGTGCAATGATTTAATATACAGGAAGTGTCCCACACCAAACAAACGGTGTCCCAAAAACCCTCCCCCGATCAACAGGTATATTCGCACGGAAAATATCATAACACGATAATAATATCACATCACTGCATGTGTTGAAACATACCGACATCATCCCCTCCTTGAGTGCTCCCGTCCGGGTGGTTGTGGTGATGGTGGAGTTGCGGACCCATCCCGCCCAGGGTTGGCTTACCCATGCTTGGGGCCCCGGCTGTGGGGCCCATGTTCCCAGATGGTGGCATCCCTGTCGGGCCACTGGGGCCAGCCATGTGTGGGTTGTGCGACGCCGTCTGGACCGCCTTACGGTTGCTGATCTTGGCCATCCTCCTCACACGTCGACTTCGCAATCGCGGGTCCTGGTTGCTATTCCTCCAGCTATCGACGGCTCGCTGAATCAGTCCTCGCTTGCCACGGAGACAAGGGTTCAACTCTGCCAGCGCCCAACCAACCGTGTTGCACTCGGTCTCGTACACCAATCGGTTGCCTCGGTACTGGTCCTTGCTACAGCACGCTCTCGGGTACACGCAGTTCTCGGTCTTGAAGTCGGGGCTCAGCGTGTCAACATTGACCGATTCCACGTCGCATCGGATGGTGTATTCCATCTTCACGCGATCCCGCGAATATTCGAACGCGATCCACTGAACTCCATTGTTGTCTTGTCGGACGACCAAGGGCGTAGTCGCTGGGATCGGGCCCGGTGCTGCGTTTGGGTTGACACCGGGCGCGCTCCCGGGAACGTTATTCTGCTGCATCGGTGGTCCGTTCGGTTGGTGTTGGGGAGGACCCAGAGGTTGCGCGGGGCGCGTGATCTGTGGTACGTGTGGCTCCATCTTTGGTCTTGGGCTTCCCGTCATTCCCTGTTGTGGGTGCTGACTTGGGTGCTGCATCTGGTGTTGCGCAGATGGATGCGACATGAGAAGATTCGGTTGAGAGGTCATCGATTGTTGATGTTGCGGGTGCTGTTGTGGATGCTGTTGGGGGTGCTGGGCATATGGAGAAGGCGCAGCTTGGGGTGGCATTGGGGGGTACTGCTGTTGCGGTCCCGCGTAATACATTTGTGGGTTCTGTTGTAATTGAGATGGCGGGGCGCCATACATGCGGTGTTGTTCATGTCCTGAAGGAGACGCCACAGACGCTGGTGAGTTCGACTGAGGAGTGTGGTATGAGATTGGGGGGTATGGTCGCGACATTTGAGCGGCCGCCATTATGTCGGGGGTTTCTGTTTCCTGTTAGTCAATGACCCTGCATTCTGGCAGCGGCAAACGCGTCCGTGGTCTCGGTTGCTCACCTCCAGATGAATATGCGCCCGACGCGCTTGGTGTACTGTATGGACTCGGGTGCGCAGGGTAATATGGAAGATCCTGGGGATGTTGTCCAGCTGGGCCCGGGGCGCTCTGCGGATATTGCGACAGACCGTGATGCGAAGGAGCGTAGGCGTTTGGATGCTGCGGCTGAGGCGGAGGGGGTCCTTGGTGGTGCTGTTGATGGACTATGCTCGAGGGTCGCGGTTGTTGCAGTTGATGTGGAGGGGGACCCTGCTGGGCGTGGTGGGGATGGTGCTGCATCAGGAACATCCGTCAGTAATACTTCTCAACCGTGATGCTAAATGCGATGGCAAAAATACAAAGACCATTGGCAAAAGCAAGTCGCGTCGCGATGATTGTTTAGACACTCGCGATTTAAGAAACGGGCTGGCAAATCCTTGACCGCGAGGGTGGCACTGCGAACGTCCCCTCGAGTCGGGTCGGATCTGCTGCTCCTAACAATAGCGCGCCGCGACAGAAGAAAAGAAAATAAACCGTTTCCTGCTGCTGCTGGGATGGGAGGACGTGGGTCTACCTCTGTATAACAGATGCCTTGCTCTATTACCAAATCTTCAAGCTATTGACCAGGTACAAGCGACCAAGCAAGATCGGAAACTCCGTGACCGCGCGAAGAACTCCCTCAATCAACTATATGAGGGTAGCGGCGAGAATCAGGAGGGCGCTCTGGGGGGTACGGCCCGAAGGAAGACGGGGAATAGCAAGATAAAACACGGACCGGAGATTGATCGAAGAAACAGGAGCCGATGAGATGACGACGAGGACAAGGTATGCGATTGGGAGGAGGTAGGAAAGCAGTATAGGTATGGGTATCAAGAGGATAAGGTAATGCAAAAGCCTGATATGACCAGAAAGGACGTTACACAGTCTGACGACAGCGCATGGGAGAAACGTGACAGGGTCAAGAGGGGCCTTGCGGTGGAAGTGGATGAGGTCGCGGACCATGGGGCAGGGGAGGCTGCCCATTGAAATATACTCGCCAGGCAAAAGCAAGGATGCAGATGGGCAGGCCAGGGGTGGTGGGGTGATAGGGTAGAGTGTGATATGCGTCAGGAATGCTCGGGCCCCAGCGGTGTGTGGGCGGGAGGCCAGTGAGGGAAGCTGGGAGCGGCGAGAGCCTGAAAAGGTGACTCTGGCTGCAGCAACGGGGTGCACTAGGGCCGTGTGTCAAATTGCTAGGAGCGAGAGGGGGGAGGCAGCGCGGCCCATGGGAGCCATAGGAACCCTTGGAACCCTGGCCTGCCTCTGAAGATCCCCTGTCGAGGGCCCCCGTCTTTGCGGCGTTGAGTCCTTGGCACACCGCCACCAACCCGCTCCCTGCTGAAGGACGGGCGCGGCTTCCAACCGGGCCCCTGGATACGCAGGTGTCGAGGCCGTCTTGCGCGGAGGCTTCTCCCTAGCAGCGACAGTATATCATTTGCAAAGACGGCTCGAAAAAGATTGATCACGACGTCCACTCATCACCTAGCGACTAGGCTTGGGCGATCTGCACCGTCGCGCGTGTGCGACAGACCGAGCGAGTGATAGACCGACGCGCACCAGCGGCGAGGGCCGTGATTGGCTGGTAATTCTCCTGCAAACAGGAGCGAGCCAAAAATAAAAGCACGAAATTTAGAGAACAAAACAAGCTCGCAAAAAAACGATGAATCACGTTCGGGGGATCGCGGTCCCTCAGCGGATCATAGGCCGGGCTGGGGACGGTGCAGGATCCAGCGCCACCCTTGGCCGAGTAGTGCGCGCCGCGTGGGATTGGGCAGCAAGCTGAAGACCCCTTGGCCACCCATGTACATAGCCCGGTCCATTGTGAAACGAGCCCACTTGAGCCGACACTTGAACCCTTGAGCCTGCTATCCTGTGCAAAGGTGCCCGCCCGACCGCCGCCCGTCGAGTCCAGCCCGCGCAGCCTGTCAACGCTCGCCGTCTTCTGGAATGTGTCGAAGCCGCACCTCCCGAACCAACCCCCTGCGAAGAAAACCCCCCTTCCCCGGCCTGTCCCCGGCGCCCTAACTAGAGCAGGGTTACAGCGTAGGGCGGTGGCGCGCGCAGAGTGAAGCTGAACAACTTGCGAACCAGCATGGACTCGCCGAGATAATGCGCGACGCAAAAACAAATTAACAGTCGCACGTCGCAATGCAGAACTCTGGTCGCAGAGTAGCGCACGAGCGCGATAATGCCCATCCGAGACAATGACCAACGGGTCACAAAACAATTATTGGGAAAGCTGTACACTTACGTGATCTCCCGGCACCGCAACACCAGGCTCCTCCTTGTAACCTCCAGTCTGTCGATGAGCCATCTCGGTAGATGTTGATGGTCCTGGTCGCGCAAACCTCGTTAGCATATGATATCTACCAGCCAGCCGGAAGCCACAGATGCGCCGTTCAGATTCTGATCCCTCCTTAGCACGAGGGCCAGGGAGAGTTCATGCCATGCCATGCAACATCCGTGCACTGGACATCAGACCGCAGCAGGGAGGTTTGAGCCTTGTCGCGACTTACTGTTTACAATAAACGATTAATTATCGTAGAAAAAAGTCTGTCGCAACGATTTGCTATGACAAGTGTGGTAGCAGACTCGGTGCGGAACGCCTGCTGTGTATTGTGCGCTCTATCTACAGCGTATCTGCTTCAATCCTGAATTAGCGACGGCTTCACGACACATAATTATTGAATATCACTCCAATGCGATCGATGATGCGCATGGGATGGGATGGTACATGGTGATACCAAAACGAAACATCGATGCCAGACGGTTTTGAACCCCAGAGGCGATCTATCCAAGGGGGCACAGGGGTTGAGGAGAAGGGAGATCGCAATGCGACCGATGCAGACAGCGCCTCATGAGGCCTGTCTACAAGATTCTCCTGTATCAAAATTCTTCCACGACTCCAAAACGTTGCTGATTGAACTATCAACCAGGCTCAAGCTGCGAACCCTTCTCGGCGCAAGTTACACCAGGTACTAAAAGGGTGCGCCCAGCTGACAGGAATTGGAGTGGTACAGGAGAGGGCCGGGCCAGCCCTACATTGGCCCGTTCAACGTTGATCGATGATGGCGGTGGCGATATGTTCACCCAGCCGGTACCATCAGAGGTCAACTTTGTTGGTGTTCGTTCAGAGCGGGGGTCAACTACTCGCGTGCGTCACGAAAGTGGCCCACGAGGAAACGTGGGGCTGACCGCTAGGCCAGCTTTCGCCCACGGGAGTCAAGGCCCGCTCAGGAAATTTGGCGCTTCAGAAAATCGATGTTGACGCAAAAGGCTGCAATACAGAACTTACTTGGTTGAAAGAAATAAAAATTAAGAATATCGGAACCGGGGTGTATGTAGCGGGAATGCGAGCGTAGATAGTATAGCTGATCCTAAAAAATATCCAAGTCAGCCGGGTGTTCCCCAGAGCGTGCGTTGCTGGGAAAAAACAGTGCAGAAGGCGACCGGCGCATAGGGAGGTCGCATACAGAATGGGGTCAGTACGCGTCCCTCACTGCAGTGCTGCTGCAGAAACAGAACGAATGACGCAAGAGACAGACTCGACGAGGCTGCGGAAGGGAAGGGCCACGGCGGTGATGTTTGCGGAAGACCAGGACCAGCTCAACACGCTGGGCCCGGGGACCCTATTATACAGGCATGGGTGGTTGGTAAACAACTGACAGCGCGAACTTATTTAGAGCCGGGGAGATGTGCAGGCTCCGGCACATTAACTAAGGAGATGATGGGAAGGGTTGCAACGCATTAGACAAGGGGGGGGTGTCGGAGCTGGCCATGCAGGAGCCCTTGGACCCATGATGGCACGTCGCTTCGAGGGCGAGGGGGTGGGGACGGGACCAGGGTAGCAGAGCAAGAGAGCAAGGATAGGAGAACGCCATCGCGCGACAGCTCAGAAAGTGGGAAATCCGATAAACGTACCTTGAAGAAAGATATGTACCGTCGTCGCGGCTAGGCGGCCTGGTTCTGTTCGGCAGAGGGCTGTCGAACCGGGATAGCTTCCTGACGCGCCCACTTTTGAGATAGATCTGTGAGGGGAGGCTTCTGTCAAGAAATCAGTCACTAGCTTACCCATGCCGGACCAGGATGTTCCGCTTGCAGCTGGGCTGTCTGGGGGGGCATTTGTGAAGACGTGACGTTGTGTTATCGTACCTAGAATCCTTCTGAATACTTCGTCTCGATCCCGATCCCTCCACGAGGCTGCGGGCGAGGATTCCGCCGAGGGCTGAAGAGTGTAAAATGCAGGTGAGATGCTGTGTGCAAGTCGCGACAAGATGACCGCTGCGCTTGCTTCAGACAACCTCGATTGCACCAAACCACCTCGCGAACCCCACCGATGTGTGCTTCAGCTGTTTCGAGCCGTCGCTACTCCTCCACGATGGTATTGATCCGGCGGGCGCCCTCGATTGTCGAGTCCCAGGTAAACGGATCTGGGGCGGCAGCGAGGGATTCTCGGCGAGGGATTCTTGGGAGAGGGGTGCGGGACGCTGCAGATGCTGGCAGCCGCGCGCGAGGGAAGGCTCGACGGGGGACGGGCGGGCAGGCAGGCCCGGATCTGAGATGCGCGAGGGAATGGATTCGGAGACCTGGGTCACACGAGAGTCAGCATTGAGTATGCGAGGGCCCGGTCAGCCAGAGGAAGAGGCACCAAGTCCCGGCGGGGTTTGTGAATTGCTGGTCGTCAGCCGTTCGCAGGCGCTGCTGAGGGCGATCACGCTCGGCGCACACATGGGGATGGGAGCGCCCGTCGCATGATTGTGTATCGGTCACCACGTTGCTAGGTTGTACAGAGACGTCGGGCAAGATGTGTGCAGAAGAGATGGTCGCGCGGTGGGAGGAGGCGAGAGAAGATTGCGACCGCTGGGCGCGATCGCTTGGACGGAAGAGGCCGCGACGCGTTGGTCCCTAGATTCGAAGGGAAGGACGAGCGCGGCGATGCTGATTGCCCGGGGACTTGGGGAGAAAGATGGAGAGATTGTTTGTCTGACCTACTTTTGTGATATGATTCTGATATCTGCGGGTTGAAAGAGCGGTGCATGCAGAAATGGTAGTGGTACAGTGGGCACGAGGGACGCCGATTGACAGGTCGGGTTTCTGAGGCGCGCGACGCTTCTGCAGGGCGCGAGAAATCGCGTGTCGGTGGAGAGAGGCGCACGTGTCTCGAGAGAGCGTAAAGCGTGTATAGGCCCTGAGGAGAGAGGGCGTGAGGGCGAGCGAGCGGAGGGGGAGAGAGAGGGAGAGGACTCGGAGGAGTTGAGCGAGTGTGTGTTCGTTGCTGCTGGCTTTGCGGTCGGGAGGTGATGCGACGACGGGATCGCGTCAATCAACGAAGCTCTCCTCTCTACCGTGATGGCCCAGGCTCGATCGCGGCTGTTTGTTTATGGGTTCCTTGTCTGGGGAGAGGATTTTTTCATGCCTCCCTCGTCCGCGGGTGGAGTGTATAAGGGTACGGCGGTACAGTCGACCGTCCTGTGCTGTCGGTGCGGGAAGCAAGGGCAAGGGAGAGGGGATCCTTGCGGATTGCAGAAGGCCACGCAGGGAAGCCGACGAGTCTAGCAGTAGTCGACGACGCCGGAGGAAAAGAGGTTAAAGTAGTCGTCCAGGGACAGTTGGGACCGTTTGCCAAGGGGCCGTTGTTCGTTCGTAGGCAAGACTCCAGGGACTCGAGACAGGCCGGCTCCTCCTCTGGTCTTCGTGTCCGGCGACTTGCGCGGTGCCTAGTTGAAGCCGGTTGTCTCGCGGTAGCGGGTCGCGGGCGGAGAACGGGGTGGGGATGAGTAATAGGATGGGATAAGAGCGCGGATATAAAAAGAACAATTCGGGGTTCTCGAGTCTAGAGCCTTGGGAGGAGACGGGTCCAGGATGGCCGTGGAGAAGTGCAGGAGGGTGGATGGTTTGGTTTGTTTGTCGAGAGGAGACGTGTAGACGTGTCGGGAGCGTGGAGCGAGGGGGGACAGGGGGACTTAAAGCCCAGGACAAAGCACAAAGCACAAAGCACACACAGACGCCGTGGCACTTGTCTTCAAGGACAAGGCGCGAGACAAAGACGCAAGAGGCACGGCAACGAGGAGAGAAGAGAAGAAGAATAATCTCTCCCTGCCTTGCTGTAGATAAGAACTAGGTGCAAAGAAGGCCAAGCGCTGACCCCTTTTTCCCGGACGGATTGGATTCTCTTGTCTGTTGCTCCTGCTCGTGCCTCAGACTCCATATTAATCTATATGTAGCTATATATATCGACATCGACATGTTGCTGTAGAAGGCATGTGTATCGATGATCCTCTACAGATGCACGGCTTCACCACTTTTCTCAGGTTCGCAGATCGCAACACCAAGATCCGCGGGATGGTCAGTGACCATGGATCTATCAACCGTTTCTCTCAAGAGTCAAGACTCTTCTCCCTCTTTGCTCTTCCTCCACCCCACCTTCCAAGGGGAAGATGGGACCCGACAAACCAGTTACCAGAATATGAAGCAACCCACCCCAAACCAGAGCACAACCACCATATGGTTAATGGCATAAGCACACTCGCAATAATAATCACAACCACAACCACAATCAAAAACCAACACCGACGGCCCCATCTCCGCCTCCCCGCTCCAGTTCCAACCAATCGCCGCCCCTCCGCCCTTCTCCCAGCTTCCTCTTTGTTATGCAAGTGCCGCCCGGGTTGTTACTCCTCCCCTCAAACCAAACCCAAAGCAAACCCAAAGCACAACCACTCTCCTCCAGCTCCAGACCCTCCTCCAGGCTCTCCCGCTCTCACTCTCGCTTCCCGCCCCAGCACATGGATAGATAGGGCCGGCCGTGACCTTCCCGATGCGGACCATGGCCGAACGCCTGCCGATCGCTCGTCCTTCGCGCCCCCCGCCAGACCCGAGCTTGCCTGAGAGATGCGTGATCGTCGTGTTGGTTGCTGTGGCTTTTTCATCACCCTTTGCCCTTTTTTTCTCTCCTCTTACCATTATTGAATAGTCGTAGCGTGGGGTCTTTTGCGAGAGAGAGAGAGACGGGCTTAGCATGAAGACGCTTTACCCGTTGGATGGGGAACCCTAGAAAACGGAACTCGAGACGCCTTACTGGACAGGTCTTACCGCGAAGGTGACCATCGACCGTTAGATGATGGGCTTGACGGACGGAGTGCTCCGTCGCCCGTTACATGCGTGGTTGAAAGCCAATAGCAGGCGCTGAGGTGCCCATCGATAAGTGGAGGATGAATAATAACAACACCAAGGAACCCGCCTAGTAATAATAAAGTAATCATCTAGTAATAACACAGTAAGAAACCCCATCCATCAAAATCTCCCTCAAATCTCCAGAAACCTCACGCTTACCTAGCCCAACGGCACAGTACGTAAAAAATGACGGCGCCCATCTCCATCGGCCATACGAACGGTCCGACCAGAAGCCAAAAGAAATGAAATTTTCTTTGGTTAATATCCGCGACCAGAGTTCCGTCCGATCGATCATCCATCGTCCAGACAAGCAAGAGACACAAGACACGACCTAACCGCTCTCATGCACCGCCCTCCGAAGACAGCACGTCTGCCGAGGCCGATGGATTTTCATGAGATTTTTCCCATCTTTTCTTCTCTCTCGAGTCTCGTGCTCGTGAACATTGGATGGCAGAGAATGGACCCCGAATGTCTCTCGGGATTGGTGTCTCTTATCTCCGACTGGAACCGCGCGGCGTAGGTCAGTGTCGGCGAATCAGCGAAGGCCAGCGTGATTGACCGTTTTTCCCGGTGGGTTTCGTTTCGTCCTCTTCTCTGGCAATTCAACAGTTGAGAATGGTTGTCTGGGAGAGGATGTATCATTCTTGTACAGAGATTATTGATGGGTGGAAGGGTACAGTAGTAGTAGCATGGCATATGATCCGTGCCACTGTCAACATGCTAAAGAGACCGTTGAGAAAAAGATGATCGATCTCGCTCCTGGAGCCAGGTAGGGTCCCCGGCGAGGCCCTCCAGCCCATGACCGGCAGTTCGTCCCATTGTTCGTGGGTACTCTGGAGACTGGAGTAGTTGACATGACCACGCCTTGTAGACTGGCCTGCCTTGTAGAGTTGCGCTGCCCTGCCAGCCCTGTGAGCGAGCGAGCGAACTGACTACTCGGAGAATTGGCATGCGCGGTCAAGAATTCGCATGCTTGAGGGTTGTTGGACTTTTTGACAGCCGCGACATACATACATAGGGTCATGCAGACAGACAGACAGACAGACATAGGTACATGCATACATACATGGTACATACAATACATAAGGTACCTAGGTACAATACACACATTCTACCGTACAGCATAAAAGTCTCAGTCAGATCTCACTCAGTCTCAGTCTCAGCCTCATCTCTCCCTCTTTGAAAACCCCTTCCTCACCACATCATGCCATACCACGCCATCAAGGAAAGGTCCATCCCATCTCTTCATTTCCTTTCATTTCCTTTCCAATTTCCATTCCCTGCTTTTCCCTCCCCCGGTCACTCATCACTCAACTCCTGTTTCTCCACTCCTCTACTCCACTCCACCACTCATCACTCCACTCCTGCAAAAGACTTACAAAATACGACGCTGTCTAACCCGTCTCAGCCAAGTCTCAGCCCGCCCTCGGCTGGCGAGAAGAGTGGATTACCAATCCTATGTTCCCGCATCATATGTCCGAGGTTTTTGGGCCTTTGCCTTTGCCTTCTGTGAACTGAACTGCTGCTGCTGCTGCTTCGCGACAAAAGTACCTACCTAGTTCCCCGTCCGCCCCAAGAACTCCTTCTGTACCTACACATACATACATACATACATACATACCTGCATAGGTACCATCCTCACAAACAACTGCGCAATTGGAACCCATCCTCCCCCCTCTTTCCCTGTCTCTCCATCCATCCATCCATCCATCCATCCCATCCATCCCGTCCATACATACATAAACAAGCTACATAACATAAACATGCAGCAAATGTTCCATGATATATCCCCGAATGAAGAAAAATCCTCCGATGCATGGAACTACATGGCATGCATGCATGCATGCATGAATTTCGACACGCGTATCTATGTATGTATGTATGGGATTTGATCAAATCATTCAATCAATCAATATCATCATGCGTGTTGATGAGAGAATCACGAGGGATTTTAATGTAATGCTGCTGAGCTGTAGATTTGATTGATTGATTGATTGATTTATGTGCAGTGCAGTTAATCTAAATGTTGGTTGAGTGAGATTTCGTGTTACATTGGAAGATGGATGCACCTCACTCACTCGCCATCCATCACCCCCGCATGCGGCACACCATCTAGGTATGAGTTACTACCTACCTACCTACCAACACGCCTTTTGTCATCTTTCCTTCTTTTCTCCTTTTGTTTTTCTTCTCTACTGTGCTCTGATCTGATCTACCCCTTAGGAGTATAATCTAAAGACTAAATCCTAAATCCCTAAATCTTATCCTTATTTATCCAACCCCCCCCCCCTTCTCTCTTAAACAAAAACAAAGAAACCACAACCCATACATACATCTTCACTCGATACCTCATCTAGTAACAAAAAGAGATCTAAAAATTCCGAATCGTCATCATACCCCCTCTTTCCTTTCTCTGATAGATAAATACTTTTTTAGTACATCATGGGATAGAATTCAGGGTTAATCAAGAGGGAGGTTCTTACATTCATGATTCATTTATAGATTGTACAGGTTATTACAGTAAAATATCTAGAGAAGAGAAGACTACGTAGGTTAGTAACTAAGAATTATGATTTCTCTTCCATGTACCTTGGTACCTACCTACCCTCTGCCTCTTTCAAGAAGATAGATTTACTCAAAACAAAAACCTATTCATATATAGCTAGCTAAAGGAGTCTCCTGGTATCCTGATCTGATATTCTTTTATTATAAGAGAAAGGGATATTATATTTTCGATATTTAGTGTTGAAGAGAGGGTGGGGTGGGGGGGGGGAGGGGGTTGTTTATATGGAGGATTGGAAAATAAGGGGGAAGGGGATGAGGGGGGGAAGGAGGGCTGGATTTCGATTTTGGATTTTTGGGAGACCGGGGGGGGGTTCTGGTGTGTGTATAAGAGAGAGAGAGCCATATCTCTCTCGTCCCCTGACAATCTACAAAGGAATCTTCAAGCCATATATACACCAGGCAGAACGAATCCACGAAATGGATCAACAGTTATTTTTAAAGAAGGTACCAGCTTCATCATCAACATGCTCCGTGGTTGCTATGTGTCCGCTACTACTAACTTTAAGAAGATCCTTGACATCTATGAGTTCCATTATCTACCAGAGTAATGCGCCGACGGATACTGGATAGGGGTTTAGAACATGAGAAAAATTAGGCATTAAAACCTTCGAAGCATCCTAAAGAGAAGGACATGAAATGAATCGTTATGGTTTTGGTTTTGATACAGGTCGTCGACCCTGGAATGCCGCTCGTAAGAATGGTTGATTGACGGCTGGTTGTGGTTCTTGGAGACTCCGCTAGCCATATTCTATATGCTGATATCAGGCTGATTCTGAACACGGCTATCACACCAGAGTTTTATCGAGTCTCTTGAGTCTAGCTTCTGACCTGTAATCAAGGAATTATCTTGAGTTCAAGTCCTAGCTCTGAGCATCGAGGACTACGAAGATGAATGTCTGTAGCTGTACACTATGCAATCATCTAGTCTGTATTTTTAGATCAAGAGTAGTGTAAACACATCCAGAACTTACCGTACGGGTACACTGCTCTTAGACAGTATCAAAGGTACACTTGTAGCTACAAGGATATAGAGAGTTTCGCTAGTGTAAGGAGACTAGAACTGATCAGATACAGGACTGACACAAATCGTCCCTACCAACTCGCAGCACATGGTCAAGATGCACTGTTAGGTGCCAGTGCCCAACCATGTCGAGGAAAGGTCGACAGTGCTTGGCATGGTAGACAATTATCTCCACCATCCAAACCGAGCTATTCATTGTCCAGATGTCTTTAACAATATATTGTCGGGGGTGCCTCCTATCTTCAATGATTCCACACTATCTCAAGTGCTCTGGAATGAGTGGATCATATACCCTTGGAAGTCATTGACCGACTGCGGTAGGTTCATAGAGCTTCACATCTAATGCAAAGGTCCTTCACCTCATAAATCAATTCGACCCTACCTTGCAAACAAGGGCCATGGAACGCAAGATCCCTTGATCTTGTATCGAGAAGTAAAGTCCGAGGAGGTCACGCTTGATACAGATTGTTGACGGCCTTTCATACCAAAGCGATTTGAGTTGTAACGAAGCTAACAAAGCATGCAACTTCACCAGCTTGTGCCTTACTGAGTATAAAAACGTTGCGGAAAAGAAAACGAAGAGAAAGAAGCAAAAGGAAAGAGAAAAAGGAGAAGGACGGAGAGATGGGGTATGAGAACGCTATCCCACAGTTTCTCCGTGCCAAAATCAGACCCGTATGCAATATATGCATGAGAATCTAAGCCAGGTCTACCAACATAACGATCCAGGTATTTGATCCGGCACAGGGGGTTTCTGACCGATATACTTTCATCCATAGTGAAGTGTTGAGGCCCTTACGTTGGCTCCAATCTCTGACCGCTGGCTATACCGTAGCGGTAGATTTCTCTTTTCCCAGTAAAACAAGCAGACCGCTTGCAACGATACAGAGGCATCTGCATAAATCACCATTTCTCATCCACCCGTACAGGGTTTCCAGAGCTTTTCGCATGGGGCCCAGCCCTTTCAATGCCTAAATCACACGAAGCATAGCGCGCATGTGTATTGATGGCTTTGTATTAGGGGTTCGATGCGACGCGCTGAAGGGAATATTGATTAATACGTCGGAAATCCTCCAGTGCGCGGGGTAAGTTGGTTGAGAACATGCTAAGGCAGCTCACTGGGAGCTTGTTGACGACTGAGATGCGGATGTTGCCGTTGGCTGGGGAAGACTTTGTATTCAAAATGAAGTTTGGCGATTGTCAGACAGGTGAGGTCGCGGGGTACGAGGCATTCGGTCCAGGTATGGTATGTCCTGTTGCTGTTCTTCCATCTTTACTTCAGGAGGTTTGTAGCGGTAGGGAACAACAATATTGCGGGCGGACAGTGGCACGTGATCTAACTTGAGGCAGAAAGAGACCATCTTTGAGGTAAGTTCCTCTACCTAACACACAGCACACACTTTCCCGCATAGCTCCAATAGCATTGCTTCGAGGAATACAAATCACTCATGTCTTGGCCCAAGACGATACGTCCTACTTGGATCCGAGGAATACAACGGCGGGATGGGCCTGAGAGACTGCCACGCCGCCCGGGGAAATCAACCAAGAGATGCAAGGTTTTCGCAGTTTCGTATCAGATGCTTGTTTATACGTTCTTCTCAAGTGAGCAGGAGGATCTTTTCTAGCTTCATCTCTCTCTATTTCTCTCTCTGCTCTGTTATACTCGGCCTCTCCGCTCGAGACTTGTCGATTAGAGGGGAAGGGAGAGTGTAGCAAGCATACGTATTCAGCTAGCATGCTGAGCGAAGGACATTCGAAGTCGAATATCCAAGTGGTTCTCTCATGACAGCAGAGTATCGTATCATGATACCACGCACCACTTTGTAAGAGGACCTTGACAAGCCCGCTCACATCCATCTTATCTCAGCTTCACGTGCAGAGCAGAGCCGCAATATCACGACAACACGCGAGGGAATCACGACATCGCCGAAAAGGGCATTTATCCTAGGCCATCTCTTGGCGAAGATGTGAGCACTGCGTAGATTTGCGCACTCCTGCACGACATGGACCTGTCATCTCGTGGTTCATGGTTCACGGTCGGGGTTTGGCGGGGATGATCGCTCCATTACTTCTTTTTCCCTTTCCCACAGGGAAAAAGAGAAGGGCCGTGGAAGAACGGGGGCGATGGAGGGATGTGAGAACTCAAAAAGGCCGGGGTTAGAGAATGGAGGACAGGGAATAGTTCCGCCGGTTTCTGCTTTGTCGTCATGTCTCTTTTGCTCTGGTTGTGTCGCGATTCTGCTTCTCTTACTTCTTCCTGTCCGCCTCGTTTCCTGCACAGTTGGGCCAACTCAAACTGCTCTCCTCACTCCCCCGTCTGATCTGAGCTCGTAGTCGAGCTTCAGGTTCGGGTATCCGCCTTCACAATGGGCGTCAGTGACCCGGAAAAGCATCTCGGTGTCTTGCCATCCCCCACCGAATCTGCCCCGCATGGAGTCAAAGAGATCCCTTCCGTCGCCTCGCAGCATCTGGACGACAATTACGCCCTCTTTGAAAGGGCGCGAGATCTCGAAGTCGATCCTGCAGAGGCCAAGAGGGTCTTGCGGAAGATCGATTTCCGCATCATCCCCATCCTGTTCGTGACTTATATGCTGCAGTATTTGGATAAGAACTCCATCAACTTCTCCAGCGTCTATGGATTGCAGAAAGGGACCCATCTGAAGGGCCAGGACTATTCATGGCTGGGTATTTTCCCTGTCTCCTGATCCGCTGCGGATATTGATATAGAGGATTAGGATCCATTTTCTATTTTGGGTATCTCGCCTTCCAGTTTCCCTCTGGCTACCTACTCCAGCGCTTCCCCATCGGCAAGTTCCTCTCCTACACCACCATTATCTGGGGAATCATCCTCATCACGACCCCGGCCTGCCGCTCCTTCGGAGGCATAGCCACCAACCGTTTCTTCCTCGGCGGCCTCGAGGCTGCCGTCAACCCTGGCTTCGTGCTCCTCATGTCGATGTGGTACACCTCGGCCGAGCAGCCCTTACGTCTCGAGATATACTACTGCACCAATGGGATCGCGACCATGTTCGGGGGCCTCATCGGCTACGCCGTAGGACATATCACGACCGGTCTTCAGAGATGGATGTACGTCTTCCTGATCTTTGGCGCCATCTCCATCTTCTGGGGCATCGTCTCACTCATCGTCCTCCCTGATCTCCCCTCGACCGCCAAGTTCCTGACCGAGCGAGAACGTCTGATCGCAGTCCACCGCGTCGCTTCCAACAAGCAAGGCGTGAAGAACCGCCACTTCTCCAAGCACCAAGCCCTCCAAACCGCCACCGACCCCAAGACCTGGATCCTCTTCATCATGGCCATCGGCGCCCAGGTCCCCAACTCCGCCATCACCTCCTTCACCAGCATCATCGTCGGCTCCTTTGGCTTCGGCACCCTCGGCACCCAATACCTCCAGATCCCCGGCGGCGCCGTCCAGTTCCTCGCCCTCATCATCGGCGGCTACATCTGCACGCGCTGGCCGCACAACACGCGCTGTGCCACCATGGTCGTCGCCAACAGCATCTGCATCATCGGCTCCGGCCTGCTCGTCGGCCTCCCCACCTCCAACAAATGGGGCCGCCTTGTCGCCCTCTGGCTTTGCTACTTCCAAGGCCTCGGCTTCTCCATGTCCCTAACCATGGTATCTAGCAATGTCGCCGGCTACACTAAGAAACAACTCACCGCCGCGGTCCTCTTTACCGGCTACTGCGTTGGGAATATCATCGGCCCTCAGACTTTCATCGCTAGTGAAGCACGTGCGTCTCCCCCCTCCCTTCCCCCCCCCC